AGTGCGCCAGGTCTTCTAGTTATATATAAATAATATTTTTTATAAACAAGTTACAAACGATTGTACAAAAGAAAAGAATCTTTTAGGCGAGTGAATAATAATGATAATCTTAATACGTGATAACTTTACCGATGTTCAGAGTGAGTTAACAAAAACACAAAGTTTAAATTCTACAAGTGGTTTCCATATGAATTACACAACCAGAGACAGTCAGTGCCAAAATTCTATTTGTAACAACAAATGGACACGGTATATTTAACTGCAACCCATAAACTGCTGAACGCATACTAGACGACAATAACAGTAAATCTAGACGAAACAAAACAGAATTCATCATTGGCTCTCGCTATGGTAACGAAAATATTAAAAATTATTACAGCCGTATATCACACGGTTGAAATTTCACCCAATCACCGCACAAACTATGGATAACTGTTAATTTTATTACCCAAACATATTCTGTTAAATAAAACAACGTGTAGAATAATTCATTTCTGCGAATAATAATGAGTTTGTTTTCGATTCCTCAAAACAAACATTCCGTTCTCTTATGTGCGACAGAATTACCAACAACCCATACGCCAACGCCCGCTGCATAAATAGAAACATTTTCTTGGATGGAAATCCACGACTTTTATACTAGATCCGTCATCAGAACCGTACAAATAGCAAGTCACGGCCTATTTGCGATCAGACAAAACATTTTGTCCATGAAGATATATTACGCGAACCATCAACTTTTGTAAATCATTTCTATGTGAAAAACAGAAAAAAAAAACATAAAACGTAATGTAACGTTTTGGTATCCCAAAACAGATCTATAAAATGTCTTGTTCAACTAAACAAAACCGAGAGAAAGAAAAATAAATAATTGCATCGAATAATTTTTGCGAGACTTACGAAAGCATAAATTTAAGACACTATCTATACGAAATCCACTCACAGAAAGAATTTAAATTATGAAAGAGTATATAATTCATTGATATTAATTGTAAGTTATTTTTCATTATTAATAAACATCAATAGAGTATCAGCCAGTGGTAGGTGGAGTGGTAGGTAGCGTGTTCGATGACCGGCGCTGTCGCTGGCACGTGCCACCACCTGCCACTACATAACGCCGTCAAAACATCAAACAAGTCCTGAACAATATTTTAAGCGTACAATGTGACTAATTAAATAACTCTTATTGATACACAACCACTAACTTTATGAATGAAATCTTTCATATACTATACTTTTTTAAACATACTGTTAATATACGAATTACTGAGACCTAATTGAGATTACGTTAAGATGTTTTTCCTTTAATACTATGTATGTGGTTAGTACGGAATCAATAAAAGAAAGTCACATGTAAACAACGTGTGGTCATAATTTTCCGCCTTTTTTTTATTCAGTCAAAGGCGTTAAACAAACAGCCAACGTTGTCAAACTGAAAATGACATCTATATAGTTCTTTCTCGGCACCCTTGACAATAGACTGACGTGAATTTTTTTTATACATTTTACTGTCCCAATATTCATATATCTTTATATATATAATTCTTCTGTGAGTGTGTATGTCACTGAACTTCTCTCAAACGACTGGACCGATTTTGATGAAATTTTTTGTGGGTGTTCAAGGGGATCTGGGAATGGTTTAGATTCACAATTTTGTCCGCTGGACAATGTTTTTTTAATTCATTTTTTAATTTATTACTAGTAGTTGATACAAACTTTTTTTTTTACATTAGATTTGACAACTAACTAATTTGTCAATCATTCTGTCGCACTTCAAAACACGGATATTTATGGCTTTAATAAAAAAACGTAACAGATTTTTCTTCATTATAGAGCGATACGAAGTTCTCCGGGTCTTCTAGTACCTATATAATTTTACGAACATAATCTTTGACAAATACCCAAATATCTCCAATGTACGGAGGATCGTTAAATCTATGTTACTAATAATATAAACATGTATTTATATACAAAACACTACACGACATTAACGTTTAATAAAATTAAATTACAAAGGAGAGACGATGACACAATTTGGCAGCACTAATTGAAAGGTGAAATGCGTTATAATTGCATTTGTTTATTTATATACATATACTAATATAAATATAGATCAATGATTCAAATTATTCAGCATTAGGCTGCTTAATATAAAAACTTATTTGATTTGGATATTTCAATTATGTTAAGTCTGTAATATACATACAATTTAAACTGTAGTGAAAAACACGTCTTAACTCTTAAATAATGAATAAAAAAAAACACCTTTTTTTTTATCCAATTAGTTTAATTACGTTTAAAAATTTTAAGTTGTAGTATTTGTTCTGAAAAATATATTCAAATATCTCAGAATACGAAACCTATCTGTTTTTTTTAAGTTAACATGTTTTTGAATGTAAATGGTTTAATACCCTAGGTTTATGTTCATTAGGGCTCATCCGATACCAGCCTTGTTGGTAGAATTACAAGATTAATGAATAAAAAAGTTTTCTTTGACAATTGAACCAAAAAAAATTTTTTTTTTAGATCGCGTTATATGTATCTTGAAATTTTTACTTAAAGAAACCTATGTTAAAACTTTAGATAAACCCTAATTATTTTCTATAAAATGAATTAAAATCAAAGATAGTATTAGATCATTATTTATGTAACATTATTTTTTTTATTTATTTAACTTTTAAATTATTGGCCTAAATTTGGAGTGAAAATAAAATGTACTGAAGATTTCTTTCTATATTATGGTAGGATTAAAATGGATATTATATATATTTAACACAAAATTTACTTTTCCGAATTGGTTAAATCTGATCAAAATTTATATATATTTCGAAAGAAACACATAATAAGTTTTTCCTTACAGCTCAAAACATAAATTGAGAGCACTACCAATAATTTTTTTCGTAAATCATTCATAATTTTCAAAAACATTATGCATTAATTTGCTTCAAAAAACAACACAGAAGAGTCAAACGCTTTTAATCTTGTCAATAAATATAGATGTTTAGACATTCGTCCAAATTTCAAGTAATTCTAAATGAAAATCTTCTCCATGTGAGAAGAAGCCTTTGCTCAGAAGTGGGCTCTGATAGGCTGATGAAGAATGAATGAAAATGGTATACCGTCTACGGCGGGAACAGTCTTCTGTTCGTTCTTCATTTGTTTACTTTCTTCTTACATAATCCCGCGTTCCTGAACTTCTCCAGTTCTAATAATACAACTCACTTGCCATATAACCCGTGACACATATCACATTCAGTGACTAAGGAGTCACTGGACATAAATCCCCTTAGCCGGCCCGTTAGCCGAATTTACAGCCCGTCAAATTAGCATTTTATTGTACATTTCACGCTTTGAATCTCGATCCCGTTAAAATTCTACCGTAATTAATTATAATAGTGAAAGATCTTTCTCAGGCTCGTCTATTCGTTGTTTACAAAATTTCGCATTTAAGCCTATACTAGGTATTTTTTTTGTTACTGCGGATAGACAGTGGCCAAGAATGTTACGGAAAAATCGAGACGTATAAATTTTAGTTAAAATAAAATATGTAAGAAAAAAGCATGTTTGTTTTTTTATATTAATAATAAATTTACTGCTCGGTTCAAACTTCAAGTTTAACAGCCAATATCACAATTAAAAATCATCATTTTAATTTAACTTTTTTTTTCAAAAAACCCGTTTAAAAAAAATTTTACTATGTTTGTTAATAGAATGATAAAAAGTCGAGAACATTCTTCAACATTCAATTAGTTAAAACTAATTTATGTTAAGCAAAAAATGTATAAAAATAAAATTATTTTTATGATATTCATTTCATGCGCAGCTCTCACAATATTTATAATTTATTTTATGTAGAGTATCTATTCCGCGTGTTCTTAACAGAGAATTAACTTCAGGATTAATTTGAGTTTCACAAGTTTTTAGGGTACCGTACTTCTTTCGAAAAAACTGGAACTTAGTAACATTTTGTGGTCCGTATAATTTTATATTACGCTTAAAGATATACTATCGTAATAAATATCACTAATTTAAATCTGTTAACCCTAAGGTAAGTGAAAAACATTAAATGTAAGGGTCACGTTCCGTTCAAAAAAGTAATAAAATTTACCAAGAATTTGTCATGTAGCACAAATAAAAGGAACATTCAAAAAATACATATACGCATATAATAGTATGAAAGTATGTATTAACAAAATAACTTTTGAAAAATGGCAACAACATTATATTAATATGGTGAACGTAAAGCAATCTATTCGAATAAATATTACAATAAGTAATTAAACGGTCATATCTAAATGTAATTTTAATACGGAAAACTCGCAAACCAAATTTTCGGCACTTTTTAAATACAGTACAAAAAAATATGAAATAAACATCCAACAGGCCACAGGTGTCATTGGTAACTAAATGTGTAATAGTTGACAATTAATAACATGAAATGTTTTGAATACACATTAGTAGATGCAACCTATTAGTCAACATCATCTTTTTGATTTATTAGCTCCAGTTTACTCACGCGCCGGCCTAATAATCCTCGTCAGACTGCGGACCCAATGACACAGACACGCTTTTATAAATGTATCAAGCTAATAATCATGTAACTGATAGAAAACAACATAAAAGATTAATACATAGTGTTAAGTGAACATTAATAATCTATATATTTTTTATAATTAATTTTTGAGTTACAACTGGTGAGCGGCGTAGGTAAACAACAGTGCACGTGGCTAGTAACGCAAAAACAAAACTATGTCGAGTATGGAGCAAACATAATTGAAATAATCTTAATATTTAACGCTTGTTAATATCGTGTTAGATACAGTGTGAACGGATGGTATAGTAGATAGTAGCCGGTGGTTGTATATCGTACCGTCGCAATGCCTGCAGCGTTTCGGTTCCGGGGGTGAGAGGTCGTCCCCAAGGTCGCGGTGTCTCACCGGCATGGCGCAGCATCCCGCCACCCGTGTCGAGGTGTAGCGCTCACCTCGTGGACCGATCCTTCAGCGGCTCGCCAGCCACTGAGCCTGACCGGACCGCCCGCCCCAGCCGGTAGGCGGCGCCCGTTTGCAAGTTATTTCGGTAACGAATGACTCACAGCTCGAACTGCAAAGTTCCTGAACAACCGGCGCCCGCGCATCTACAGGCTTTTCTATACCACCCCGACTAGATCTACTGATATATCTTGCTATATATTGTGACTCCATATTTAATTTGTTAAATCAATAATTAAGAGTAGATTTATTAAAAATCATAGCCATTTTTCACATAGAAAAGTATGTTCTTTTTACATTCTTAAAAATGATGATCTATATGTTCCATTTACTTGTGCCAATGACAACAGAGCTGTCATTAATGCACATTAATAACATTGTTATATATATTTAAAACTTTGTTTAAATCATAAAATGTTAACATCGCTGACCTCGTCGAACCGATTTAAAATCTAGGCAGTTTTATAGTACATTTTTATTAAATGTGTTTGGAGAACAACTCTTTTCAATTTTTAAAATATTTATATATTTATTATAATAATGACACCGGATGTCTTTTTAAGTTTTAAATGTTTATCTTAGTTTTAATGTTTGGAATAAATAAGTCTATCATATTGTGACCTTGTTACATTAGATATAAAATTGAAGAATTTTCTTATATTCAAATATTATTTGCTTAATGTTTAGTTGTTAAAAGGCTATATAATTTCATCCGTATCATACTAAAGAAACTGAAACTGTATGTTCCGAAGTTTGCAGGGTTAAATCCTACTCGTGTATATAAATTTTTAATTCTAGTTTTTAATTCATGTATATAAAATATTCATACTCTTGTTATGAAAATCATAATTTTTCCCCTCTTAAAACAAAAAAATATTAATTTCTCATTTGAATCATTATTTTCATAATATACATAATATCAAAAATTCTATGGGAAACCTCTTATGTTGATTTCATAATATTTTTTAAGAAAAATTATGAGTAAGGTTAAGTGGTTTAAATAAACAAAACAATTTCCAAGTGAAGTATCTATTATAAAGACGTTTTTCAAAGCAGAGAAAGGTGATATTTATTAAATAGAGTTCTAAAAACAATACAGAGTATTTAAAAGCAATAAATTGTTAATATTTATTAAGAATACAATATGCCAAAGTTCAAAGTATTTCCAGTATATAAGTTAATATAAAATAGTAATATCAAATTATTGTATGGACGTATTAAATGTGGTATATCAAAAACTTTAAACAAATACATGTTTATAGAAGTAATATTAGATATAAAATAGTAAATAACGTAACTAAATATGTTATTTTAACATTATAAGCGCCGTTTTTCCGTGTATTGTATGAAGATATATTGAAATTGGTGTTATAAATACACCGATACTGTCACCGAGACAAAAACCAGATATGTAAGACAATAATTAAGAGACGGGCCGATAATTATAATTTGCTAAGGCGCAGTGTCTGGTTGCCGATAAAAAATGACAGTTAACTTATATTTTCTGCAATAACAAGATTTTTAACATATACTTTTACAAATATGTTCTTACATAAATAATATGTTACATGAAGACACATGAAACTGACAAAAATATTTAGATAATCGTGAGCAGATTGTTGTAGTGGGCGGTTTTATAAAAAAAATAAACTCACCTGTTAACAGTGTATTGACTGATTATTCCTCGCCAGTGTGGAAACATAAAGGAGCATATTATTTACTGGAGAAATACACTATAATTCCGTTACACCACGTCACACATTATTTTATTGCTGTAGAATAGAATAGATAGATATTGTCTTTCTTTATAGTTTTCTGCGGTCTGCCATTTTGAATTTTAATATTAGTGTTGCTATTAGCATGAAAAATAAACATATAGTTGAATTTTTGTTTAACAAATTATAAAGCCTTGCGTACAACTTCTGATAATATACTAGATATACATATTTCTTTAGTTTGAGGAAAGACATAACATAGCAAAATTATATCTAAGGATGTCGTAATTTGTTGGCCCCTGATTTAAAGCCATACTATGCTATGTTTCTTTATAATATAAATGGAAGTGAGAATACCAAAACCAAAGAGATTTAAGACTTTCGGGAGTATTCATTAAAATGAAACAAATATTTTCGGATTAAAATTCGTAATTTTATTATTTTAAAAACAAAATACTCCCGCCAGTCAGACAAGACATCTCGTCAGTCCGTGTTCGTGATCACGGTTGCTGCAAAATAACACGTAGTAATATAAAAATATTAGTTTTATCTAAATCCAAGTATAGTAATGTATTAATATATAATTATTGAATCCAGTGACAGTTATCATTGTAAATATTACAAAAACATATTAATATTGCTATCTCTGATTAACTTCAACATTATTTAGCTATTTAATGTATAATGTTCAATTATTTTGTCCTTAACTTAAAAAATACTGTTCATATTTTCTTTTAATTATGATTCATAAGCTGCACCAGGAGTTTAAAAATTGTTTCTATTAACATTTCTTAGAAAGGCAATAATTCAAAAATATTTAATGAAATAAAATCCAATTTAATCGATGAGTAAATTAAAAAAATGGATACATAGAAAAACCAGTTTAAAGCGTTAGGATTTTGTAAAACCATGGAATCAAGAAGAGGGGGTTACAATTTATATACCTTGTAAAAACGAAATAAAACACTTTTTTGTCTACATTGAAATTGGTAATTTATTTATTATAAGTAGATAGGCAAATTTCTATTTAATCATCATAATTCAGATTAATATTGTAAATATTTATTTTTCACAAGTAAACATATTTCTAAAATAAATAAATAAATGTAAACTTTGTACATATAACTTATTTTTAAAATTTCGTCTAATTGCCAAACATTATTTACAACCAAGCCCTTGAACATTTATGATTATAATCATTATTTATTTATATTATTATATAAAATAAAACTATGTTTCATGCTAAAACATTATTTTTTCTATTAATTTATACAACTTCATTATTGTTGGTGAAACACAACATATTATTTGGAATGAGCTGTCGTTAAAATGCGAGTTATAAAATTAAAACATATACATGATCAGATAACACCTAATAATATTAATAACTGTATTAATATACATTATTTTAACCGAGTATACATATACCCGTATATTAAAAATGGGAATCTTTATTATACTACACCTTAAACACTTGTCATGATAGTATGTACTTATTAACCAGAAAAAATATGTAACAAAGTATTATATTATTATTTAATTAGATCTCCATAACCTTTTACATTTTCACAGTTACCATTCTGTTTCAAATGTTTCTTCTGTATAGTTTTCATAACGGCAACTTCTTTCTGTTCCTTCTTAGAATTCCTCTCTTCAAATTCTAATCGGTGACGGATTATTCTCTGGACTATATCTTCTGTTGTCATTGTGTTACCCGAGTTTATTGTCTGAAAAAATAAAAAAAATACAATCAAACAGCAGTAATGGAATGTTATATCTATATATAACATTTAGAAAATAATATAAAATATAATCTCAATTTTGGCAGCTGATTACAAAGACATTTAAATACTCTGCATACCATAGAAATGTATTTAGAGATCTAATGTGTTCTAAAAATAATGAATAAATGATTTTTCTCAAAGAGAATACTTTGCAAATATACTAAAAGCACTTATGACGAGGACATTACTCAGATTCATTCCATGAATTTTTTTATTCCAACTAGAATATCGTGAATTTTTCTAATTTTGATGACACTAACATATAAAATTAAATCAAGTCTATCAGTATTTTCAATGAACTATTAGAAATATGTCAAAAATGTATAAACATACTTTTCTCTTTATAACTAATGTTAAGACATATACATAGACATATGTTTTTAAGATATTTGCATAAAATTTAAACTACATATTTTAAAAATGGTACTTTCATGACAACTATGGTGTCGTTTAATTTATGGGAAATATGATTACTACATACAATTCCTATTTTTTCGAAATAAGCAAAGAAAAAATATTTTTTATATAAAAATTATTAAATATATCAAATAAAAAATAATTTCTTCTTATTGCCATTTAATATATAGTTAATTATTAATGTAAAAATAGTTATTTATAATAGAAGTCTTTAAAATCCCTGTAGGCATTTCCTCATAGGAACTACATACTTCATTAGAATGGATATATCTACCAAATCAAAAATAACTTTCTCCTCAGTCTATTGCAAATCTTATAGAAGTACTCTTATATGTACAAACGAATCACTAAAATTAATTCTTATTTATCATAATATCATAAAATGGTCTTTTTATTAGGATACATGCATAATTGATTTTTTTTTGCATAATTGCATTTATTCACTCTACTGTACAAAGTGGTCAGCTTTGTCAGGGTATTTTCTATACCATTTATTACAATCAACTTGGTTGGTCTTTCTTATAGGCCTCAAAAGATAATAAAAGAAAATATTGCTCTTGGGAAGGAAAAATAATAAAATTATTATTTAATATTTCTATCTCCATATAACTTAATTATTATGAATTGCAATTCATGTTAAAAGTGCAAATTGAATACCAAAACTCCACCTAAATAATAATTTTTGAAGAAACCAAGTGACACACAAACATGCACAAAATAAAGCCTCTTTTGAATAAAGAAACTCCTTTGTCTACTATGTTATAGTCCGTTAGACTTAAGCTGACTGTTGCATTTGTGTGAGTGAAAGTAAAAGTAGAGTTAGAGAAAAAAGTTTTAGAATTAAATTTTATTATCTTTTAAATAGCTACATAACATAAGTAGTTAGAGAAAAAAGTTTTAGAATTAAATTTTATTATATTTTAAATAGCTACATAACATAAGTGTTATAAAATAAGCAAAACTTGTAAAAGTTCAGATGGAAATATTATGAATATTGTGGAAAAAAATTATTGATTAATAAGAATTTTGAAAAAACTATACAAATTCTTATTCACTTTACATTGCGTTTTCAACATTTGATATTGCTACCATTACAAAAGGTGAAGTGTGGTAAGTGCGAAGCGGAATAAAAGCAGAATAAACCAGCTCAAAACTAGTAAAAAACGTGGCATTAAAAAAATTGACATCACACCTACACTATCCGTGTACACTCACACAAATGCAAAGTTCAGTTTAAATCAAACGCTATGTTACCTCTTATATATTTCTTTTAAATGTACCACAGTACCTTAAAGCAGCCCCGTTCCTTGGGCACCTGGTATGGATCAGCTCCGTCCTTGTCGCTAGCGATGGGGGTCAGTCCGTGACACACCACCTTCACACCAAAATGGTCCATCAGATCAGCTGTCACGCTGTAAGGAGCTCCAATCACCACCTCGTGCACATACTGGGAAATACATAACATATGTTAAGGTTTGATTAAACCAGGGTTATTGGATAAAATATCATGTGATATATAATTATGTACATACACACACACACATATATATTATATGTATATAGAATTGTTGACAAAATATATAATAATGCTGCAGATTTTTTTTAAAGTGATTGTTGTGATATTGTTTAGAATATTCTGTTTTGCAGCTATTCAGCAGTAAAGGAAATGCAAATCATTAAGTACTTTTAATATAACATTCACAACAGTGCTATTTTATACTAAGGAATATATACTCAAATGTTCAAGAAAACATCTGTTATTAAACTGTGATACTGCAGATTTCATACATTTTATTTAAATTGAAGGTATTTAAAATATGGAAACTTAGGCAATACTGAAAAATAATATTTCCAAGATAATGTATCCCAGTAATATTTTTTAAAAATAAGACCCCACATGTTTTTCAGAAAAGCAATTGAAAAAGAAAATGGAATATAAAACCTCATCATTAATTCTTTATTTTTTGTGAAATATATTTTTCTATTATATAATGTGTTATAAATATATTATACTAAGTTTTATTATAATTATTATTTTACTTAAATATTTTGTAGAAACATGTTTTACCTTAAAATAAGGTATTTTTACATTATTATAATCTAAATGCATGATTTCATTTTAATTCCATTATTTTTAACCATTATTGTAATTATATTAATGATTTTTAATATTAATTAAAAAATAGAATATATCAATCAATCAATGTCCTCATATTGTGCTATCTAGGGATAAATTTTTCTGATAATGTTTCAGGCATGTCTTTCTTTAAGTGATAGTGTATCAAAAATATGTTTTTCTAAATCCAAATCTATGTATATTTATCTGTATATATGGCATTGGAAATCCTTGACATGAATAAATGGATTAAGATTTATTTCATACATTTCGAAAATAACCAATAATAATATTATGTATGATATTAGCTCAAATTATTTTCATTTTAAGATTGTAATATAATATGTAACATTACAATATTATATTTACGTTTTGTTTTAAACACACTAACTGCCACTCCATCATACTTCCTTTCATATATTTAGACAACACAATACAGGTGAAGAATATTTTTTTTGAAAAGCATTCCTAGACAACAGCTGCCAACTTTTTTTTTCCCAGAATAATCCAACAAGAGTTTTTATTCATACACATATTTGGACACAAAAATAAAAAATAAACAGTTTATGTATTTCCTTCTTGCAACATTTATGTTTACAGATCAAAAATATATCAGTAAATGAACATTTTTAACTGTTCCTTTATATATAAATATTTCATATACATTATACATACCTTACAAGCCAACACAGATAGGACTCTCTCGTGAAGGTTCATAATGGGGTAGTTGGAGCCTTTATATCTGTTGACCTCGAGGTCTGTGTGGAGCCCTACTATGAGGAAGTCACCCTGCGCGTGCGCCGCCTCCAGGAAGTCCAGGTGACCGACATGGAACAGGTCGAAAGCACCAGCCACATATACTACCTGGAAATATAAATAATAAGGAATATATGTAACACTGCATTAATTAATGTTCACACTGTATTGATGTGTGTCTTACTCTATGAAGTGTATAAAGCCATCTTAATTCAAGCGACTGCTGTGAAAACCCTCTACTACTAAAAAAAGCTCTACGTGACTTAGTTTTATATTGTTATATGTTAATGCCTCCTTGAACATTAACTATTAATAGACGATGGTGGAGGATTGCGGACGATGGTGAACGATGGCGAATTGTTTGTATAAAAGTAATTGCGTTCTCTGTCCGCAAGATAGGGCCTAAAAATGTAATATTTCATTGGACTTAACAAACCAAGGAATTTGATAACAAAGACTTTTTGGGTAGAAAATTACGATAAGAGTTATTGTATGAAATTTATGACTTTGAATTGATATGGAATTTTTGCTAAAGAACAATACGTCAGGTGAGATTTGGTTCACCTCGTTTAGATGAGAACAGAAAACTATACACATACGGAAACTCGGAATAGTCTAGTTTTTTTTTATATAGATATCATAAAAGAATCCGTCTTATTACAAATCTAGTGGTATATGATATAAAATGTATAAAAAATATAAATTTATATGTTAATATAGATGATATCAGTTTCATTTATATTTATAGCGGGTAGCATCATTTAAATTCCTGCATAAAGTCGTAACCAACACCTCATCTGCTAGGGTTGGTTTAATATAATTATTAATCATACTTATACACCAGCTTCTATTGAAACTAGGTATGCAGAATGAAAACATATCTTAAATTTTTATGTCTCCATACTATTTAAAATTTTAATTATTAATTATCGATTGATCGTATAGCGATATAAATTTCAATTAAAATTCATCAATAAAACTACATTAAATCTACTTAGTTTAGTGTGTCAGTATATTACTTGTAAACTATAAAACAAATTTAAGTGAAATTGTTATACATTCCTAATTTCATGCAACATTAAAATTCGATATAAAATCTCATTATTGGATTTATAAAAGGAGCATAAAAATTGTTTGCACCATGGATTTAAAATAATTTAATTGCGCGCATATATTGTAATTATATTACAATTTAGATGTAATGTACATTACTTGTTTTAATTCAAGGTAAAAACGTGTCTCATTAAAATCACGAGGCGGAATATTTTGATGGATGTTGGATGAACTTTGAACCTTATAGACATAGCTTTATACAAGGACGTTCAAATATAATGTAACCAGTTTAATATAGCTATGGCAACTTTTGCATGTTTTTTTTTAAATTATTAATATTATAAAAAAAAAATAATCGAGTATACAAGAATTCAACGAATAGAATTTAAAAAGATAATTGATTCAAAATATTTTAAATTAAATTAACTTGTAAATTTTTTATTATTTTGTACTTATAATAAAAGTGAAATAATACGACGAAATTATGTGCATTATTCCTACTTATTTAATTATACGCAACAAACTTTGACCCTTTAACTAATAAAAAAACTTTTTATGCATACATTACAATTGTTTGTATGACTTTAATATACATACGGTTGGTGCTCATTCCATTTACAATACACATAATAATGGTTAAAAAGGAAATGACGATAAATATGCATTTCCTTATCTATAACACATTTAATATTATTTTTAATTATCATTGTTAGTCACAAGAATAGTTTTTAACTAGCAGAACTACTATTCGTATTTAAATGTCAGGGTCACAATTAAATTTTAACGGCTGAATAGATTTGTGCCAAATGGAAATAAATATATATAAAATGTTTTTTTTTACCTTATCTGTGGGCTTTGGTGAGAGTCCACTGCTAAATTGTATAATCTTCTGTGTGGTAGGCAGGAACTGTGAACAACCGGTGTATGGTGACCTCGCTGTGGAATCCGTACCAAGATTTGATGAATGCTCCAGTTCAACTGAATACTCTTTGTCACCTCTCCTGAAAGTTATGGTTACTTAAGTGCCACCATACATCACATATGTGGTTAATCAGTATACTTATTCATTTTATTTTATAAAACAATATGAGAAAAAAATGATAATTAGAATGACTTTAAAGCACATGTAAAAGAAAAAATGGTATATACTTAAGAAATTCAATACTAAATGAAATACAAATTATAAATAGTTAAAAAAATTATAAATGTTATTTTTGATTTATAAAAATAATTTAATATAATTAAAATCATATTGAATTTAAAAATGGTTGTGGTTAAGTAGAGGAAAATTATCTATACTATTTTTGAATTATAAATATGTATATTATGTATATGGCAAAAAATTTAGATGAAATGAAATTACTTAAAATGTTCTCTTGTAAGCAGTAACATTCTTCCAACTAAGTCTGTGGTTGACACTCCAGCAGTTCTCTTCACCTCTCTGCAAATAAGAAATTAATTTAAATTCTAAAAAAAAATCATACCTGAAAATTTAGTATATAAATAAAATACCTATCATATATACAACAGATATGGCACTATAGTTTCAATTAAATAAAAATTTTTCCTGCATGTAATTTCTATAGTAACAACATTTTAAACAGTAATGAGAATCTATATTGATTCCCACTATTGTTTCTTTACGAATATTCTGTACCTGTATCTGCCGGCTTCTTTTACTAAATGGTATGTATCAATCCCATCGGCCGTTACTGTTATGTCATCTGAAAATAATAAATTTACATGTTATAATTTGTTCAACAAACAAAAATTTTATTACAATCACAGAAACTAGTAACTATGTCACAGTTTATAATTTTTAGTAGGTTAATGGTATAGTATATCTAATTGTATAATGTATTAATATAATGCAGGATTCTTTGCATGTATTATAAAAGCATATCGCACCTCCATGCACACAGAAATCACACTGGTATTTGTCTAATGTTTCTAATGTAGTCACATAAGGTGCACCCTCCACCACATGGTCGACCCATTTGATTGCACCAACCATTTTGTATCTCTCCTGCTGTGTGAACACAGGTGGACCTTTATGTTTGGATATTTCTTCATCTGTGTGCACTCCCACAATCAACACATCGCCTAAGGCTTTTGCTTGTCTCAAAGAGTTGGCATGACCAAAATGTACCATATCATAACTGAAATTTACAGATTACTATTAGAATGTTATGTGTAAAAAAAATATGACTATTTATTTAAGTAACATGTTCATTAATTTTAATATTAGAATTAAAACAATTATTAAATCATGAGAAAACATTACATATCAATCATTTCCAATATGATTTTTCTAATAATGAACCATACAATAAATACAATTACTTTGTTGTTTTCGTTAATAGATATATTTATAGGGATTACAAAGTAAAACATTGTAAAATTTATTTTTAATAGTCATTGAAAGAAATTACGATCTCACGTTTTCAAAAAGAAACTCATACAAATAATATTTTCGTAAAGTACTCTTAATAAATATTATATGAAAAAATATTTATGGACTTATTAAAATAGCTTAAATCAATCAGAAACGAAGTATGTAAAAAATAATAAATCACTGAATTACATACCAGCCATCACACCACACGCGTATTTGTTTTTTATCGTTCTTATTGTCACTCATTTTGGGTTATATAAATAGGTAATTTCAGATTTTAAGAGATGATTGCAATTTTTTTGCGATACAAATAATTTTAAAATGAGAAATATTTTGACAAGGGCACTGTCAATTTCAATAGCACTCTAAAAACTGATAATTGTCTGGGGCGGCTGCCGGCTAGACGAGGCGAGAGACCGACAGAGATTGAAACAATGAATGATGAACGAATCGAGGCATGAATAATGATTTGTTATATTCGACGCAATCGATGAGACGGAGTTCGTGTATGATACTATTATTAAATATTAACGTTTTATAATTACATATAGAGCTACAAACAAAAAGGAAATTTTATGAAGTATAAAAATAGATACGGTTAAAAGCTCGTGACATCATAGAATTAGTGTCAGGCATTAAAATTGGGCGTTTTACACTAAAAAAATAAAACCGGAATCGTAGCATAAAACTGATTATAACGCTTTTTAACCGACTTCTGAATCAATTTTCACTTAGTCAGATTTTTTTATATTTCAAAATAATGTAAGTAAATATGTAGCGTTAGATTTGCACTTGATTTTTGTCACCTCAACAATTTAGTAAAATATGTAAATCGAATTTATATTGATAAAAATATATATTTTTATAAAACTCGAGTCAATGGGATATAGTTAATGCACAATTGAAACAATACACTATAGGGCAGTATTAGGCTCTTATCATGGCTGTTACAATTGCGTAATGACGCGTATTTATTCATATAAACATATTTTAGATACGTTTAATTTATCTTATCGAATAGACCCATATAATTGGCTAGCGAGAGTCACGCCACTATACTGAATCAAAGTTTATTCTACGAAAGGACCGGGCGATGGTTACAAAGTTATCTCAAGTCTCAACATTATGATTTATGTTTTGAACAAGGACGATGAGTTGTAATAAAAAAAGTCCTTAGTATTATTTTTTATTAAAATAAACAATTAAGGAAGCTTCTAACGTGCATTTAACTAAGAATTAATCTTTTGAGTCGGCAACACCACCATTAGTGATGGCAAAGGTAACTTCGCTTTCAGGTAAATCTGGAGAATCATATATTTTTGCGATTCTATTTTCACCCCTTCCCTTTCTAAGATATATCCTTGTGGTTGACGCGTGCGCCAGGATGTTACCACCTATAGGTTTCTTTGGATCAGCTTGGAATGATAATGTAGCGCCAGGATCTGCCGTCATCTGATTTGTTATAAACACAGCAACGTTATACTCTTCGGAAATCTGTTTTAAAAATAAAAAAATATATATAGATATAACGATTTAATTTCGTATATAATGAATATAGAATCTGTGGCTTTAAATTTAAAAAAAAACATAAGCTAAATGGTTTTAAAGTTATGTTCGTAATTAATATTTTTATTGTTTATATTTTAGTCTTTCCCTAAGTATATATAAATAAATGAACACAAAATCCCAATAATTTCGTAATACATCAATGACCTGTAGCTTGGTGATAAAATAATAAAAGCCGAATATTTATCGGTCGTTGTTGATCAGACATTTACATTCCCGGATGCTGTTTATCTGTTAACCTTACGAACTTACATAAGGACAAAGCGACAACCAATTTATATATTATCACATATCCAAAGGATTATATGGACCTTTTGCAGTCGTGATAGCACTTGTGCCAGTTTCTGCTGCCTATCAGCCAGTTCTCCACGCCCTGAGTAGTCCACTCTGAACAACGCCATCACTGAATCTATGATCAGTAGTTTGAACACGCCGGCTTCTTCGTGGAATTTAGCAGCTACAAAGTCTAGCAGTTCCGCCTAGAGATGATTTTTCATATCGGTAACCAAAATAATGACCAGTAGAGTAATATACGATTTGTATTATGAAAATCAAATCTGCAGTGAATTTGAAGTCACTGTAAGGTTTTAGTATGTTTTGTATTAAGTATCCATATAGCAATTAGCAAATATGTATTTGGGAAATAAGACTGATGATAGTGATTAGTTAGACATATTGTTAAATGTTTTAAAGCCTCAATTCATTGAATAACTCATGACTACCTTTAACAGTAATTGGTAATTCTTATTTTGTGAAACACTTAGTAAGAATTCGTTCAAAATATCCCAAAAATAAAAATGATGATCAAACGTTGAGTGACCAAACAATAGCCGAAACATTGGTAGGCATTTTTTAATATTTCATCATTTTGGACTAAAAAGTAAATTGTTTACTAAACTTTTATTGTTATTTTGAAGAAAAAATATTAATTTGGAAACAAACTATCGTCAAATGTAGATTAAAGCGCGTGTAACCTTTCCTTAACGCAGACGTGCCAACGTACTCAGCTGACCGATTTATTACTTACAGAGATAATGATAATATATCAAAACTCTGATTATATTGAAACGCATCAGACGCGATAGTTAAGAAACTATTACTCATACAGACATACGATTGTTTAGGATAAAATTTATCTAAAATAATCACTTTGGGTATTTTCAGTTTTTTTTTTCGTCCAATGAATAAAATGAAATGATCACAAAATTAATGTATTTGAGAGTTATACTTTTAAAAACTTAAATTAAAATTACTTTCTTATCAGATATTATATTTCCTCCGAAATAATCAAATTTTATTAAGAATGAATATTATTAAATGCATACGTGAAACATCGTATACGTTACACGTTATATTGAAACGAATTTTTAAATATTAACATCCATAAATATTCATTCCTTCGTTCATTCATTGTTCTAGTCATAGATAATATTTTACCTGGTGCTCCGACGTGTAAGCTCTCGCGTATAAAACGTTGTCCAGTACAGCATTTTGTTCTAGATTAAATCTATCTGCGATGGGTCTCAATCTATCAGGGCGGCTACATGAATCTTAAGGAATATTACTTACTATATTTTTATATAATATATAACTAGTTATAACATTTATATCGACGATCAAAGTTTCGCTACATGTAATTTTAATTCGATTTACATTGACCTTGATAATAAATCGATTAATCTATAAAGCAGTAAACTAGATCATGTAATTTCTTTTAACCGATTTTGAGACATAAAAAATATATAAATATTGTTCTCAGCCATGATATTAGACCGGTATTTTTAGCAAAACTACATATTTAGTTTAAAAAAAGAAAGTGCATAATTATAGGATTCCAATTAATATTCTAATTTTAATATAGGTCAATTAGAAACTGAAAATAATGCTTTAAATATGTATAGATCTAAATAAGTATATTATATCGTGTATAAAGGATACAAAGTGTGTTCAGTGTCTAGAAACATGACCTTGCCACCACTGAAGCCAGATGAATTGGGGATTTGTGTCGTAACGCAGAGAGTGTGAGATAATTGGGTTTTGCCAGTTCGAAACTCGCCGAATACTTCCGTTATAGACATTGATTCTATGCCTCCAGCCAAAAGTTTACTATAAAGTTTACGAGTAAAAGTTAATTTTAGTTATTCAAAGCTAACACTTTAGGTAAATTAAGTGATCAAAGATTTAAAAAAAGAATTTATAATAACAATTCACATTATATTTCGTAATTATATGGAAAAAACAAACATCGCAGGTATACTACTTTAAATTATTGCATAGATTTAAATAGGTATATAAAATAGTACTTCAATCAAACGTGTTGTGGATATTAAGAAGATAATTATAACTTAAGCTTAGGAAAATAATATTTTTCTTTTAATTATACTCACTCAAATTCACTACTACCAGTACTTATTTTAAAAACATGCTTCCGTTTATCACTGACTTCAAGAGCAGTCATAAAACCTAAAGAGACAACTTTTAAACAAGCTTCTTTTATCTTTTCAACTTTCGCATCAGAAAATCCTTTTATATTACAAAGCTTCTTTTTCGTAGACATTTGAATTCCTTTTATAGTGCAAATACCAGCACCTTTTAACTTTTTAATATCTGCTACATTAATACCATGCTTTTGTAAAATATCCACATCTTGAAAGAAAATTTCTTCTTCGTCATTTTCAGAAACATTATCGTCTAGTGTTTGTTCCAACATTAATGATTAATAATAAAACTTTAAGTTACTAATAAGCAAGGAACAGTTTTGACAATTGCGATTCGCGCGTTTTTTAATTGTAGGATCTTTTTTAAAGGATAACGATACACTATGGAATTTTGATAACATCATTCCATTTAAAGTATTGTAAGCCATAAAATATCATTTTTTTTTTATAAAATAAATGAGAATATCGTTTCACTGATTTCATTTAGCCGGAAGTTTACTTTTGGGTCACCAAACAAGGCAAAAATGGTTCCTTAAGTAAAGGAGATTAATTAATACTCCTCAAAATCATTGTATTTACAAAGAAGGAGTAAGTACCCCAAATCAAATCTGCACTAAAGAATGAAGAAAAACTTCGTTTCTGAAATAAAAAACTTTTAAAATATCATATTGAAATTAACTGAAATACTTATATATTTATTAAGAATAACTTTGACTAAATGTTTGAGTTTTAAAAAAATTCTATTTTCACTTTCTTCAAATTAAATATGATATATATATATATATACATTCATAGATAACTATGATTTCATTTTAACCTAGTAAATATATATTTTTCAAAGTTCAAATCAAAACATATAGACCAAGGCATGGAAATATATTATTTATTAAAAGTCTGTGACCCAACAATTGACAAGTGGCTTGAGAAATGACGTATAATATTTTTAGTCTATGACTATTGAGTATTGACTGTATGAATTTAATTCTGCCAACAGAGGAAAAAAGGCTTGATGCGGCGCAAATTGAAGATATTTTTAATAAACATTTATTAATTCATCGAGAATTTACCGACTTATTCAGCTCAGTTAAGGTAAGGGAGTAAGTTAACCCTACGGCCGTTTAAAAAAGTGATTATTTATTATGTTCTTATATATTTCCTCCTATATAACAGCCATGTTGAAGTAGTGTTGATTTTACTAAGTTTTCGTCGGTTTATTGTTTATATAGAAAGTTTAAAGTTGTCCACAAGTAATGTGACAGACCCAGTTTTGTTTGTGTTGTGATTACAAAGTTGAAAAGTCTTTACAAAATGAAAAGTGTTATAAAGTGCTTCCAATTTTGGCGTCGAGGCGTCATCATTAAGGTAAGGCTGGATGTGTCTACAATATCCATCAGAACGTAGTTCTTACTAAAAAGTTCACCTTATTGTATCGGAATCTAATTTCTGAGTAACGAAATTAAAAGACTATTGGTAGGGATAGTAATTTTTAAAGCCCAGATGTTTATAAGGTGGCAGCAACATAATATTTTAGACTTCGTATTCATAATGAATTGTTATATTCATAACCTGATATGTACGTTTTTATTATAAGCAGGTATAATAATTATTACATTTATTTATTATTTTGTTTTGTCGTAAAGGTAAGGCTTATTATTTATATATTATATATTTACATATATATATATTTAAGTTTTCAATTTATTTTGGCATATTAATAAATATAGAGTGCTTATTGGGAGTCTGTACCCAGTCACGCATTGAATTAAGAATGTCATATACAATTTACAGGAATGGATTCTGAAGATTCTCGTGATGCCACTGGAGATGGCCGTTCATCATCCAGCAGTAGTAGCTCGAGTTCCAGGAGCCGCCGTAGCTCCTCATCAGATAGTTTTAAAAAGAATCCCAAGTCCCCACCTCAAAGACCCAAATCTCCAAAATCCAATGGACCCCGTTTCCACTCGCCCGAGAGTCACTCTCGATCACCTCACAGAAGGTCTGACAAAGCCCCACAGTCGCAAGATAACTTAAGTGGTGCACATTCAGATATTAATTCACCTGAGAATTCAATGCCTGCTTCACCTTTTGGGCCAAAATCTCCTGATGCCCCAAAGTCCCCAAGTGAAGTGGGTTCCAATATAGGGTCTCCCGAACAACCGGAGCATTATTCATCTAATCGTTCAGGAGGTGAGGGTCCTAAAACCCCTCAATCTCCTGCTAGTTCAGTAAAATCTGCTCCAGGTTCACCAACAAGTAGATCTCAACCAATATCCCCCGATTCGGCATCCCAAGTCACAAGTCCATCTAGATATCGTGATTCTTGGTCGCCTTCCTATAATAATCGTAGAGCATCTCCTCATTCCTCCCCCACTGCATCTCCTGTTAAGAAAAATGATTGGAGTCCTAAAGAAAACTGGCGACGGCATACAAAGGCAGAACAGAAAATGGTTCCAACTCCAAGGAATAGAAGTAGGTCGGATTCAAGTCGGTCCAGTCAAAGTTCATCATACAATAAGAGAACTAACACTAAAGATCCGGCCACAGAAGAAATATCCGATGGTAGTTATTGTGTAATAGATTTTTAACCTGTCCATTGAATGAGTTATATAAGCTATTTACTGTTTTTGTATAGGTGAAATGGAATCAGATCAAGAGGACAATAAGTCCAGATGTAAGTCTCCGAGCAGTGAGAAACATGAAAAGGATAATAATATTAGTCATGAAGATTTAAGTGATGTGTCGGACGAAGACTCGGACACACAGGATGATAATAAAGACATGAAGGTAACATACAATAAGTTCTTCAATGTCATTTCTCCCTTTTGCCTTTTTATTTTTCACCCTTCCTTTTCCATCCAGTTTTGGATACCATACCTGTAGTGTTTTTTGTTTATAGACCAAACCAAATCCCCCGTCCACTGATAAGAAAAAAGAAATATTTAATGGTAATGATGGTGAAATTTCACAGCTGTCTTCTAATTCGGAGGGTGGAAAAACTGCTAAAAAATCGGAAAAAGTAAGTGGAACACTTAGCCTTTATAAATATGTTGGAAATTTTCATTGATTATAAGATGTAATTTTTAAGGTTTCACAAGAAAAAACAAATAATGCAGAAGATGGAGAGGAACAGTTGGATTTTGAAGCTGAAGAAGGGGAGTGTATTGAAACAACAAAAACTAAAGATCAGTCTAACGGGGATGTTGATAGTCAGAGCAATGAAAAAGGTGAGGCTCATAATATCAAACACTAAACATTTCAAGCTATAGTCATTCCATTTATTTTTAAGGAATATAAATTGTAACACTTAATTTTTTGTTTTATAACATAGTTACCCTTTTTTATGTTATTTATGACATAAATTTATTAAAAATTACAAAAAAATGTTAATTATGTAAAGATTACCAAATTCAACATAGTATAGGGAGTTTATTTAAATACAACACTCAGACCAATAATTGTAACCGCTGGTGTCAAGAAATACATATTATTTGTAGAAATTATCAAATTATTAAAAACTAGAAGACCTGGCGAACTTCGTATCGCCCTATAATCAAGAAATATCTATTACGTTTTTTTATTTATATTTTTGGAGTTTACCTGTAAGCCATAAATCTCCGTGTTTTGAAGTGCGACAGAATGATTGACATATTAGTTAGTTGTCAAATCTAATGTCAAAAAAAAAACGTTTGTATGGGAAATAGAAAAGGGCTGTTTTTATGGTTTTCCCAGTAATTAATAAAAAAATTTCAGCTTTTATACCTTCCCTGAACCTCCACGAACATTTCAAGACTAAGATAAGATAAATCCGTTCAGCTGTTTTCGAGTTTTAGCGAGACTAAGGAACAGCAATCCATTTTTATATATATAGAAGATAGGGATTACTATACAGGGTGACTGGTGAATTACTATCGATATTTGAGGACGTGATATTTGACGATCATATATGATAAAATAAAAATTAATATAACATAAATATTAATAAACTTCTAAGTAAAGTTAACCAAAAGTTATGTAATTAATTACGCATCGTGTGAACACCCTACAGATTAGGTATACACTCACACTCACACATACGCGCGTCGCGACGTAGTGTTGTATCAGCACGCCACCGCACGCGTCCACACTTAAACATTTGGAACGTGTCAACACTTTACTTATTTATATGGAAATTTTGTCAAAAATTAAGTGCCTATTTTTTTTACATAATTCGAATGAGAATCATGTACCGAGTATTCTCCTTAAATATTGATAGTAATTCACCAGTCACCCTGTATACTTATAAATAATGTATATTTTATAAACCAAAAGCATATCCATTTCAATAATGTATATAAGCAATGTCTCATACAATTAAGTAATATACAGGGTGACTGGTGAATTACTATCGATATTTGAGGACGTGATTTGTGACGATCATATATGACAAAATAAAAATTAATATAACATAAATATTAATAAACTTCTAAGTAAAGTTAACCAAAAGTTATGTAATTAATTACGCATCGTGTAAACACCCTACAGATTAGGTATACACCCACACTCACACATAAGAGTGTTGCGGCGTTGTGTTGTATCAGCACGCCGCCGCACCCGTCCACAATTGGAACACTTGGAACGTGTCAACACTATTTATTTATACGGAAATTTTGTCAAAAATTAAGTACCTTTTTTTTTACATAATTCGAATGAGAATCATGTACCGAGTATCCTCCTTAAATATTGATAGTAATTCACCAGTCATCCTGTATAAATACTAGCTTTCTTCCCGCAGCTTCGCCCGCGTGGAGTTCGGTTATATCGCGTTTCCAAGAAAACCTTTCAAAAGTCTGGGATAAAAACTATCCTGTGTTCTTTCTCAAGGTCAACTCTATCTCTGTACCAAATTTCATTAAAATCAGTTCAGTGGTTTAGGCGTGAAAGTGTAACAGACAGAGTTACTCTCGCATTTATAATATTAGTAGGGACATGGAAGTCAGAGATAGAGTCTATAATTTAAGAGACTAAGTATTATACAGTAATACCCCGCCTAACGCGACCCTGTTATACGCGGTTTCACTATAACGCGAATTTCAAAAATTTATTCAGATTTGGACATATTTTGCAGAGTATAGATAATAATGATGACCGCGCCTTGACCGTATGTCAAACAATTAAATACAATGTTGGGTGTTATGAACTTATTTTATAAGAACGTAAACAAAACGCTACCTAAAAGACAATACATGTATTTTTTCGTAAAAAATAGGAGCACCTATGTATTGTATAGTGTTCTTAGAATTAAAGTGATTGATTAAAATGATTTTTTTATCATAAACCTCGATATAAGCGAATTTCAGTTCACCAGTCACCCTGTATATCGGTACTTTTCGCATGTTATCAATAGACATATTTACATATATATTTATTTTACAGAGGAAGTTAAAGCGGGTCGTAGATCGCGAGGTTCTTCTCTAGAGGAGGGCGAGGTGTCTGATGAGGCAGAGCGTCGGCCCGAGGAGAGTGAGCCTCGACCGGTGTGCAGGTTCTTCTCACGAGGAGCCTGCACTTGGGGAGTTAGCTGCAGGTGATTTGGGACATGGGGTGGTATTATGGTGGTGGTATCCCCGCGGATTTCCGGGATATAAAGTAGCCTATGTGTCATTCCTGGACGTCAGCTTACTGTATATAAAATTTTATCAAAATCGGTTCAGCCGTTTGAGCGTGAAGAAATAACAAACATACACATACACACAAACTTTCGCAATTATAATATTAGTAGGACAAGAAGTAATATTAAACGAGAAGTAACTCTTCTAAAAGAGATAGTAAGGTTGTAAATATATGTACATGAATAGGGTTACTTCAAATAACTGGAACTGTTATAGGTATGAATTAAAATTTCTGTTTAATTGGTGTATTATCCAATCATAGTAAAATATAAATAAAAGTTAATCATCTCAAATGTATCATCAAAGATATGTTGGTAAAAATAGAGAATAATTATAATTCAAAGTTACTCCCTACATCTATTAATGTATTGAGTAACTTTGAATAATAATATTAATTTTCTACAGTTTATAGTTTTATATATATTATTTTTTATGTATATATTCACATCTTGTCTGCCCATGATCATGGTCACTGAAAAGTAAGTAAAACGTCGGGAGTATGTAGTTTTTACAAAAATATAGTTTTTATAAAAACCAATTCCGGAATTATAGACAATAAATTAATAATTGTAAATGTAATAAGAAGAAAATAATAATAGCTATTAAGATATAACTATAAACTTTAAATATACTATTTGGGACATACATTTTGTGAATTTTTTTTTAAATGTAAATCAGATGATAAGTTGTAAAGGTATACTCAAAGTATTTAACTTTTGTTATTTTATTACCAGGTTCTTGCATCCTGGTGTAACAGACAAGGGTAACTACAACATGTTTGATGTGGTCCGAGGTGTGCCCAGTGGAACCATTCCTGCCCCGAGGGACTCCGCCCCGCCAGAGTCAGCCTGGGAACGAGGACTGAGGACTGCTAAAGAAGTAAGGATATTGATATAAGATTTACTTATGTTATTGTTTTTATTTAAAATTGTTGTTTGTTATTTAATTAGCTTTTTTATTTTCTGCTTGTTGTCGCTTAATTTTTATTTCTTGCATGCTGTTATCACCTTTAATTAAAATACCACTAGTTTTATTTTTTTATCCATGTATCTGGAATGTTTTTAGTGTGTATTTTGTTAGTGATCTAATAAAATAAATAAATAAATAAGATTTTGACTGATACAAACCTACTAATAATAATCATTCCCTTTTTGCATTAAATGTTCTTGGTGAATAATTTTTCTAATGAGTCTAGGTTGTCAGAAACAGCCAAACAAAAATATATGGTTTTCTGATTTTTTTGGAGTTAATAATTAGGAGTTATGTTATTTGTTGTCTATGATGCAAGGAAATCTAAATTCATCAAGCTATTTATTAGATCAATATTTATCTAAGACTATGTTAATGACTACTTAGCAATCTTAGATAAATGACTGGTAGTTGCTACTTCGCCTCAAAGGCATACAAGCAGTTACGCGTATTGACAGAGTTAATAAGGAGGTGTCTTTGGGTCCGTTGTAATTTGACGAATTATGGTGGTTTTGTTATAGATGGTGAGAATAGCGAACAAGCGGAAGGAACAAGACATGGACTTCGAGGAGAAGAAGCTTCACCTGTCAGTGGGCGGGGTCGTTCATGACCCTGATGCGGAGCTGGCGTACGCCGCGGCCGCTGTGGGCGCTTCGCCCCCGCACGACCTGCCACCCGCACACAGAGACCCCGAGATGTACAGGTCATTAAATTATTTGAAATGAAAGACTTGTTGATTCAACACGTATACAGGGTGACTGGTGAATTACTATCAATATTTAAGGAGAATACTTGGTACATGATTCTCATTCGAATTATGTAAAAAAAATAGGTACTTAATTTTTGACCAAATTTCCGTATAAATAAATGAAGTGTGTACACGTTCCAAGTGTTCCAAGTGTGGACGCGTGCGGCGGCGTGCTGATACAACACTACGCCGCCGCCGCGTCTGTGTGAGTGTGTGTGTATACCTAATCTGTAGGGTGTTCATACGATGCGTAATTAATTACATAACTTTTGGTTAACTTTACTTAGAAGTTTATTAATATTTATGTTATATTAATTTTTATTTTGTCATATATGATCGTCAAATATCACGTCCTCAAATATCGATAGTAATTCACCAGTCACCCTGTATATTATTCACTCGTATTTTTAACTCAATCAATACCAAAAATTATGCTAACTTAAGGAAGATGAACAGATACAGTAGGACCTCGATTATCCGGACTAATTGTTGTCGGTAGGATAATTGAAAGTTCGGATAATCCAATATATGAAGAAAAACGGGCTTTTTGCATATGTACATATGTAGTCTGTACCATACATATGTAATGTTAGGTGTTTATTTAAAACAACAAATACATATGAGCAAAAATCAAAGTTTATTAAGAAATTGTACCTAATGTAAGTATAAGTGTTATAAGTGGCGTGGCGTTATGCAAGTTCTGACATGTTAATCTATACTAATATTATAAAGCTGAAGAGTTTGTTTGTTTGTTTGAAAGCGCTAATCTCCGAAACTACTGGTTCGAATTGAATAATTCTTTTTGTGTTGGATAGTCCAGTTATCGAGGAAAGCTGTAGGCTATATAACATCACGGTACGACCAATAGGAGCAAAGATATAGTGGTAAATGTGTAAAAAACGGAAGAAATTATTTCATCTTTGAAGCCTTCCGTTGCGTGCGCCGTGAAAACGGTTCAAGATACACAAAAAATATGTATTAAAGAATAATAATTCTCTTTTAATGATCCTAAAAACAGTCCGCGACAGTATATGTCTATCTTTTAAAATTAACTCACAAAAACCGTTTTTATGGTACCTAATTTTGTGGAAATAATTTGTTTAAGTTGTATCAACATAATAATATTAATCTTTATTCAAATAAACAAATAAATATGTTTTTGGTTAAGGGAACTTTATTGTGAATAAAAAAAAATAGGTTTTATCCTGAAAATTCTACGGGAACTCGACCATTCCGATAACCCCACAAGAACGGGAACTATGTGGGAAGAACAATCTGCCGGAAACAAAAATCTGCCGGAAGACACTATTCCACGCGGATGAAGTCGTGGCATAAGCTAGTGTTAGAATAAACTCGTCGCGATTGGTAGCCCGGATAATCGCGAATTCGGATAAACGAGGTCCGGATAATCGGGGTCCTACTGTAATTTAATAGCGTAATCTAAGTGTCGGTCAACGCCATCTAGTGATAAATTTTGTCACTACATATGTGTAACATTTTACTCAATATTATATTAAAAATAACACCTAGCTGGACTCGCAAAATATATCAGAGTTACCTTTTAAGGTGTCTAAATATTAGCCTTATAATTTAATGTATATATATTTGTAAATAACAGATCCCCATATGGTGTGATGTACCGCGGTCGGTTCCCCCGGCCGCCGGTGGACGAGAGGTTCTATGAGCGGGAGCGAGCCTACGAGCGGGAGAGGGTGTACGAGCGACCTCCCTACTACGAGGACATGCCTGCTACTGACGATATGACGTATCACAAGGTTGGACACATTATATACACATATTTGGTCCTGATCCATATTTAATAGAGGCCCACAACCTATTTTTGAATTATGTATATTATTTTTGTAAATGTTACCTAAGAGCCTGTCCAGAAAGCGCGATTTTGATTTGTATTGTGTCCAGATGTGGCGAAATCAGGCGCGTATGTGATGAGACGGATTTGGTCAATTATTTAGTTAGTTATTTTTTCTCCTCGGAATCACCAGCTTCACAAAAAAATTCTACCATTTCTTCCCAGTTCCTACCCTTAATAGTTCTTTTAGAATAATCTGACGATTCCATATCCCATATAGCTACCCTTTTCTCAGTTTCGTCAGTAAAAAGTTCCGTATCAGAGTTTTCACGCTCCATGGAATCGTTCCATTTTTATAACTGACCAAATCCGTCTCATCACATACGCGCGTGATTTCGCCGCATCTGGACACAATACAAATCAAAACGCGCGAGTTGGCTCTTTCTGGACAGGCTCTAAGACATGATACATCTGTTTTCAGCGTCGTGTCCGTTCATCCCGAGAGGTGATCGTCCAGCGGGCGGAGGTGGAGCGGCGTGAGGGACGGTCCCGGGACGTAAGGGACGGACGGGACACACGGGACGGACGAGGCGACGAGTGGGCCGACCCGTGGATGAGGGCCGAGCCCGCCGCCCGCAGGCGACGGCCGCCTTCCTCCGAGGACTCGTACTCCTCCTCCAGGTAACACACGTCTGATGCTCGAACATCGTCGATGTAACGCTTCCCACTACAGTTGTCTGTTCAAACTATTGAACATATATTTTTGTCAACATACCGGTATGTCTTTATTGATCTCAATTCAGAAATATATTTGTTTTTATCAATTTTTTTCTTAGATGTGTTCATAGTTCAATTATTTGTTATATCTATAGTTATTTTTTTCTATTTTTAACTAGTCCGTATGTAGTTGTTAGTGAACAGTGTTAGTTGTTAGACAAACAGGCGAACTATTTATTGATTGACATATATCTTGTCCCGCTTTGTCCCGTCATCCCGGCCGGGTTATGCTTCATCATAACTAATGTCGTGGTGTTTTGGTTTTCACTCACGAATCTCATCTTCTCGTAATCTTCTGCATGTACCACTCGGGGTTCGCCGCTGTGTACGTGTGTGTGTGTGTTATGTTGTGCATGTGTGTGTGTGTATATATCTATGAATGTCTGCACGTGTCTCCCCACACCTCCTCCCGGCTTCCTCTTGAGCCCACAGCTCTTCAAATTCCAGTTCGCGTAGTTCAGGCAGTCCCGGCGCGAGGCGTAAAAGACGAGCATCATCATCGTCGCGACAAAGGTGAGGAATTATTATTATTTTGCACGACTGTGATGTATCCCATAGTCTATACTAACCGTTAATATTATTTAAGATAGTTAATAGTTGAATATAATAACATAACTTTGATCGACGCTTGTTCATGGGGTGCCTAGAAATACTCGTAGCGTATTTTAACATATCTGATAAGTCACATACTTAACATCAGTCATGGACGGTAACCCATACATTCATAGCTAACGGCCATTCTTATTGTCATCAAACATGAATTTATAACTGGATTATTAAATCGACAGATTATCACCGTCGGTGATAGTACGTGAGCGGCGCCTGGCGACCGCTCGTGCTACAGCCATGAACCCGCCCGCTCCCCGCAGACGTGCGCCCTCGCCGGCCGCCGCGCGACAACTGGCCGTCAACCCGCCGCCGCCGGCGCCTCACAGGCATAAGGTACATAACACACTACTGATATATATACCTACATATAAAGTGTATTTCAAATATTGGAAGACAAGAACATTTTACCTCTATACAAAAATGCATGAGAGTTATATTATGTTAATTGCTATAGCACTTTGGTTACTATTGTCCATTTAAATATGACATGAATTTGATCAAGAAATATCATCGCTACTTTGAATTACAATTATGTAATTTTATTTTCAGGATGAGCTGGATCCGTACGGTCGTAATAAATTATCAAATCGCAGTAGAAATAGAAAGAAATATTCAAGATCGTCGTCTTCGGGGTCAGGTAATATATTATAAACAAGATATTATTGTATACATCAATCTTATATACATACTAGAAGAACCGGCGAATTTCGTATGGCTCTATAATCAAGAAATATCTGTTACGTTTTTTTAATAAATGAATTTAGTTTATACCTTAGCCTCAGAAACACATGGTGGTTATGCTATTAATATTATTAAATAGTCGCTCATATATGATGTTTGTATTTTTAACATAGCGCCATCTATTGAATACTTAACTCAGTCAAATGATAATTGTAATAATGAGAAATAATGTTCTTTAATAGACAAATAATAATTTGCAATAAAATAATATTGTGACTATAAATTGGGATGTAAGCTATCCTATCTTTCAAGTTGGATCAAAATGCACACGGAATGCAAATCAAATTTAAAATCGGTTTAGCAGTTTAGGAGTCCATAGCGGACAAACACGTGACACGAATTTTTTTTATATACAAAGATATGATATCCTTTGAACAATTCATCTTGTTGTAGAGTCATCATCTTCTTCAAGTGAGTCTGAGAGTGAGTCACGATCGTCTTCAACGTCTGGTAGTTCTGGCACGAGGCGCGCGCGACACGCTCGGCTGTTGAATGCAGCGGCTAGACCGAGGTAACTACTATATAATACATATGTACAAAGATAGTCTTCCATTTTAATAGATGTATCAAAATAATATATCACTTTATGTTCAGGATGAACGCTAAACCTAATTCAGGATTAGCTGCGGCAGTGTCGACGGTGACAAGCAAAAAGGAAGCTTCTAGTGACAAGGGTATGTTATATAATAATTTAACTACAAATTTTTCTATATATGTATCTAAAAGTACATATTTTTCTAGAAATAACGGGTAAAAAACGATCAGCTACATCACCGGTGAGTGGAGCACCGGCCAAGAAGTCAGTGTCTAGAAGGGAGGAGCTTCTGAAACAGTTGAAGGCGGTCGAGGACGCCATCGCGAGGAAGAGATCCAAGATATAGCACAAGGAACACCTCTTACTGGAGTTATTCGGATGCTCACGTAATATAGCTTAAGGCTTTCACGGGCATTTATACAATTAGTTGGTTTATGGGTTCGTAAATGTTTTGCGCCTTTGAACATGCCCTGTACGTAGTTAGCGTACGCATCGAGGCATTCGATGTACGTTTGAAATGTATTACTTTGTAAAACATTAGAATCGATGAACATAGGCTTTAAGTAATGTAAGATAAATAAAACGATAATCTCGTTTTCACATGTTGCTGTATAAACTAATTTTATTTTTTAATAGAAATGACAGATGCAGGTTTAGCTTAGTGTTTGTTGTACGGATCATTATGTAACGGACCGGGCTATAGGCTCTGGATCAAAACAAATACTGTGACATTTGAGAGCAAAAGATAAAAATCATTATTTTGAACAAATATTTTTTATTTCCTCTATTTTATGTATCCTACGGTGACTTAATTATATTGATATTTGCTAAAGTATATTTTCTGGAAGTAGTGTTTCTGATGAGAACTTGATTGATTTTTTGTTCTAACAGTTGGTTAAGAGCATTAAAAGCCACATAACCAATTCCACAACACTTGGCTTCTGAAAAACTAAATGCTGCTTTTGATATATATCCCATGACTTGTCTGATTGGAACATGTCTTACAGTTTCAATACTAGACGGTAGCCACAACTCTCTCATATTCTTCACATAATCTGATAGTTCATGTTTATTTTGCTTAACTTTTTGTTTAGTTACCTGAAATTAAATAATAGTCATTAATTTAAAATAATACTTGGTTATTATTGATAATAAAATTAAAGTGAACTCTCAACACTAAAGTTTTTTTACCTGATTTAATAATTTCTGTTTTGTTTTCAGCTTGATTTGTCTTCTTCTTTTTTGCTTCAATAGTTTTTTATGTTCTTGTCTCTTTTGACGTCTCAATTTAAGATTTTCATCTGTGTGGTGAGGTTCCATGACAGTATTTTTTGAGCATACATCTTGTGGGAGTGGTAAACATATCATGGCATGACTCGTTAAATTTCCCTTCCCTTCTACTTTTATATATACAGGTATCAAACAAGCATCACAGTTATCAAAATGCGGAATTTTCTTTTTTCTGTCTATACAAACCTGAAAAATCATATTCATTTAAATGTTCTACATTAGATAAAAGTGAAACTCAACATGAAACATACCTGTAATTCTTCTAGTACCACTTTATCTCTAAGTACATAAAATTTTTCTTGTTTATTATTGCTCCAATCTTTTAATAAAACACTCCATGGACATTTAAATGGGCTAGGAACTGCGAGCTTAATGTAATTAACTCGTTTGCTGGGTGGTCGTTTAAAATATTTTTCTTTCAATTCAGATTCTAATCTCATCTCCTCTAAAACCCCAGCTTCTGAATCAGGTGGCATATAAATTTCACCCATTTCCAAAGCCACACTTTCTGTTTCTCTCAGCCCGCCTGATCTAGCTCCAAACATAATAAATGTTAACCAGAATGGAAGACCATATTCCGCTGGTAATATTATGTCCCATCCACTACCATACCCTGAAAACAATTGTTTATAGTTTTATATATAGTTTCCAGTATATTTCATTGAATCAACTCTATACTTGTACTAGTTTACAATTACAATGTAAACAGAAAGTTATTATTTCATTCATAAACCAATGATGATATGTGAACATTTGTGCCCTAAACTTTTAAAGTACAAATTTAGCCGGACTGGTAATAACAAAAATACATACCAACTTTTTTATAACAGGAATCTTGTGAACCGGGTCTTTGTAGTAATACAATGGGTAGGTTTTGTAGGAAGGGATCATCTTCATTTACCTCGCCTGGTACAAGCTGTGTCTGAGTTATATGTTCAATGTATTCTGAGTTAGTCACTTTATTCTTCTTAATAATATCACAGACTGTCTCATCCCATAATGGTGATCTAGGTGTGTACGGTGGATTGTTCAGTAATAATTCAATATTACATTGTTTAGTAGTTTTTATTTCCGCTTTAGTTCGTTTTGAGGGTCTACTTAACCGAGGATCTTTTACGACCAAACCGATTATTGCTCCCGGTGGCATTTGTGCAGGTGAGTTCACGAGGCTGACATTTTCCCAGTAATCATATTTTTCCTTGAGAAATAGGTTTGTATTCTTTTGTATGCTGTGCTCTATCCACTTATTTGTTTCAACCTTTTCAACATCTTTAACACATTTCAGTGACTTAACTAAAACTGCATGACTTTTAGGACCGGTCAAACGAAATCTGTTAAATAATTTTGGTTTTATATTGATTTGCACTTCAGAATATTTAGTACTTATTTTTCTCTTTTTAGTAGCAATTATCTCTGTCTCGGTACTTGAAGTGATCATACTCATACCAGCTTTAGTTATATCATTTAAAAGTAATTCCACTTGGTTTACTTGAGATGGATGAACAAACAGCCAAAGTTCTAAATTAGAGTCATTCATACACACCCATAAAAATTCAACTTTTCCTACAAACCCAAAGGGGTAACAATCTTTCATATATAAATTGATAGTACCTCTCCTATTGCCTCTTAAGAAAGCTTTTGCACAGATACCTAGTCCACAATTGTTACTTGTAATGTTACTAAAAATATCTTTAATGCTGTCTATTTGACCCTTAATTTGTATAGGGGTGTAATAAGAAATATCTTGCAAAAGACAATGTGCAGAACTAGCTCTATAACAAGCTCTGAATGCTTTGTCGCAGGGTCGGTATGCAAGACGATGACCCCAACGCTCTACCATATGAAATCGTTTTGCATGCCATATGTGGGTTTCGAGCCATACTTTATTCTTCTGCCGTCTATTGTACTCGTTTAAAAGGTTCGTAGGCCGGCGTCTGAACTTGCGAGATGGACGCTTTTGTTTTGGAGGCGATCCACTTTTCTTAAGCTGTTCTAAATGTCCTAAACGTAGTCGTCTGGGCAATCGTTTGCAGTTGTGGCTCATTACCCTACGTCGCATGTGTACTGGTAAACATTGAAAAATTAGTTTAGTTTTACTTGGTCGTAATATGCTTTCAGTCATTGTTGCTATTTCAATGCTTCGAGCGGCAGCAAATTTTAGGCTATTTGCAGTATGTGGAAGATGTTCGGTTCCACCTAAAGCGGCATCAAACTCCGTAGGTTCCATTTTGTACTTTCTTTTCGCTGTTTTCCTTTTAATTTATCAAGTTATTTAGTGTAATCCACAGCCACACATTTTCTAACCTTACCCTTAGTGTTTATATTGTCACTTGTCAACTGTCAGGTTTAAATTTTGACAATTGCTAGTATTTGGATTCGTTCGATCCACTTGCTTTTATAAGTTATAAAGTTAAATAAAAATAATTCTTCGTTTATTTCTTTCAAATAAAACATTTAAATTTTAGGGCTGCCAATATTAGAAATATATGGAATCGTTGGGTAAAAAATTAAAAAATACTCTATTGTTATAGTTTATTTATACAGGGTGACTGGTGAATTACTATCAATATTTAAGGAGCATACTCGGTACATGATTCTCATTCGAATTATGTAAAAAAAATAGGTACTTAATTTTTGACCAAATTTCCGTATAAATAAATAAAGTGTGTACACGTTCCAAGTGTTCCGAGTGTGGGCGCGTGCGGCGGCGTGATGATACAACACTACGCCGCCGCCGCGTCTGTGTGTATACCTAATCTGTAGGGTGTTCATACGATGCGTAATTAATTACATAACTTTTGGTTAACTTTACTTAGAAGTTTATTAATATTTATGTTATATTAATTTTTATTTTGTCATATATGATCGTCAAATATCACGTCCTCAAGTATCGATAGTAATTCACCAGTCACCCTGTATATCATATTATTCTTAATATTTTGTCATTTGAATTGCCTATAATTAAATATAAATATGAAAAGGAATATTTGAAAATGCATTAAATTTTCACAAATAACTTTAATATATCATGGACATAAACTTCATTGTTCAATATTCTTATTACAAGTAATATTTAAAAATAAATAAGCAGTCACTTTTATATACTTATTAGTGTATTTAAATTCTTCCCTCAAATATTTTATACAATACCAAAAAGCCATTCTAAAACTTATTAGAAGTTTTTGAAAAGGTTTAAATTAAGTCGAATAAAAATGATGGCAATTTTATCTCAAATTTTAATGAATAGAAATATATTCTTATTTTCCTACAGTTCATATTAATCAATTGGTTTTCTTGTGTAAAATCAGCGTCCGTTAATTTTTTCTAATCGTCTCTACCGACATTCATCACCATCATTATCATCTCGTCTTTCTTTCTGTTAAGCTGTAGATTCCTTTTAAATAACTCCTACATACTTGAACCGAATTAATTTAACCAGTAGTTTTGACATACGCATAAAGAAGTATTCAAGATCAATTAGCTAATAATGCTGTATAAAGTTTAATAAGTACGAGGGATCATAGACTCAATCATCCAATTTTTTCTCATCACACCTAACTTCATCTTCTCTTCGATATTTCTATTTACAGTAGCTTGAGAATTTTAAAGAACCTATGGTAAGATTTTGATTCATGAATATTACGAGAAGAGAATAGAGATAAAGGGTTTTTGCTAGTATTCATTCAAATAAAACTAATTATGATTTTTTTATCTCTTCTGCCCGTGATAACGGTGGCTGCAAAGTAACCGAAACGTCCGGAGTATATAATTTAAAAGAAAAAATAGACTCGTAGTAAATCCAAAAATATTAGTTCTATTTATACTAAGAGAAGTATGGCTATCCTTTTTTTGCAATTCAACAGTTATATTTTCTTTTCATTTATTTTTTTTCAATAAGTTTTAAAAATATATTTTATTACCTTGTTCATTGAAATCGTCGCTTAAGTGACGACTTATTCTGTCTATTAAGAACTTAAGGAAATGTCACTCAAAAAATTATCTTTAGGTATGGTTAGTAAATAGTGGTGTCGAACACAAGTTACTTGGTCATTTACCAAAGATGGTAGGACAATTTTCAGGTTCTCAACTACAAGTGTAAGGTTTTTTTATATAATAAATTTTCACACCCACCGTAATCCTCAGCTGTCTTGCAATTTATTGATGTAACAATAATTGTTTGATATTTTGAGAACAAATTCTAAAATGTGAATGAAAAACGTAGTTGATCATTGTGATCCTAATTAAATATGGGGATACCACCTAAATAAAAACGTCTATACATAGAATTGTTGAACTTGAAAAAAATTATCTAGGATTGTGGTTTAAGATTTATGAAGAAAAGCCTAAATTTACTGTAGGGACGGATTGAAGTGTAAAAAAAATTGTACATAGATCAAAATTGCTCTTATATTAAATATTTAGGTCTTGCCCCGCCACTGGGTGTTTTAATGGTAAGAACTAAATGAACTTTGAACTGTATCTTTGCCAATAATGAATGACATTGCTGTCAGATGTTTAATATTTTGTGATTTTAACTGGCACTTTTTAAATTCATAAAATTTTATTTGAGATATGCGGTAAATTCAAAAAAATAAACTTGAACACTTTCTGGTGCTTTATATTAAAATATGCATTAGATTGAGGATAATAATTTTTTTATTTATATTTTTGGAGTTTACCTATTAAAGCCATAAATCTCCGTGTTTTAAAATTTAAAGTGCGACAGTTGATTGACATATTAGTTAGTTGTCAAATCTAATGTCAAAAAAAAAACGGTGTTATGAACAACTACTAATAAATTAAAAAATAATTAATAAAACATTATCCAGCGGACAAAATAGTGAATCTAAACAATTCCCATATCCCCTTGAACACACACTAAAAATTTCATCAAAATCGGTCCAGTCGTTTGAGAGAAGTTCAGTGACATACACACTCACAGAAGAATTATATATATAAAGATATGAAACGGAACTATTTTTGCGTTTTGTCAAGTCTATTTACAGTAAAAAAGTAGTTTGCACAATTTATATAAGATTCATATTACAAAATTTCAGCCTAAATTACGCTATGCGATAATATATTAGTGTAATATTTCTTGCTATATAAATATAACTGTTGGTACATAAAGGACACATTAGAAACCATTGTCAGATGTAAAAAGAAGGTCGATGTGTGGTGTGGACTGTGGAGTAACTGGATTGACAAAACTTTATATTGAAATGAAATGTTTGAGGTGAAAAGTGAGACAAAGTTCATCGGAATGGATGAACAATGAATCTTATATATTTAAATGAGTTCTTGTATATATATAAATTGTTATCTCGGAATGGCCTCCAACGATTTTCATGAAATTTAGTATACATAATTTTTGGGGGCGAGAAAATAATCTAGCTAGTTTATAATATGACTCTTCCTGACATCTATTGGCGAATAGTAATACTACTTTTTGCTAATTGCTTTAACGACACAACAGCAGATGGCGTTGTTAAGCAACACGAAGTCTATGAGTGTTTGTTTTGAGTTTAGACCAAGAAATAAATTGTTGATTTATATTGCTTTGTGTCTTCTTAACGTGTTTACTTAAAAATGCCTAAACGAAATAATTAAAAAACACAAAATAAATACTAATAATTCCTAAATATCGAGCAAAGCTCGTTGTCCAGATATTGAGATGTGAAATAAAATAACAACACAATATGCAACTAGTTATTTCATTGATGCGTTGACCGTCTAGCGTTAATTCTATTTAACATCATGTGGCCTCTCTGACCAGTAAATTCAAGAATTATCCAGTCATTAATAAAAAATATAATAATCATTACAATATCATAGGAAATATTTAGTATGATCACATGAACAGGTTTAGGACATGATATGTATCAATGTATGTATGTAATATAAAAATTAGAAAATATTATAGAAGACATCTGATACTAAAGAGTATGACCATCACAACAAAGATTTTTTAGTATTCAGTTTCAAATACATTTCTTAGTCGAGGAATTGAATACACAAAATATATTATTATTAACAACTATGTATTAACACACAAGTAAACAATAAAATATTAAGTTATATAAAGTGATAAGTGTAAACATTTTTCAAAATCTGTTGTACTTTTTATCTTATTAACTCGATCACAATACAATATTAATAAAAAATACAATACACAAGTAACAGATACATAATAATAACAATCTTAAATAAGCAATCTGCCTGAAAAATATACATATTATTATGAATAATTACAAAAATATTTTTTTTTATCTCGTCGAGGTCCTTCCAAGGTACATGCTCCAGAATTCTTCATAATTTTCATTCAACTCAGGAACAAAATTAGCTTTCACAATGATCTCAGAATACATGAACAATCTGTCAAATCATTATGAAAACCAGTTTCGTAATTCCTTTGTCTTCTATATGTTCCTTCTTCACGTATGTTTCAAATACTCTTCATAATTCCTGCTAGTCGTGTCCAAACAACACAATAGATCGTTCTATCAATGGACTTGTCATCGCTCGATTGGCCGAGGAATGCGGGCCTCGACGTGATGCGAGGGCTCGCACCCATTTACATCAATGACATCAGACGCACAGCATCCCTGGCTGGCTGGAGGCTGGAAAACGACGCGCTCTTATTAATACACATGACTAAATGGACGTTCGTCATCGGTTGAAACGATATGTTATACTAATATAGATGTTATGGAGGCGTTGTGAACTCGGACGTCTGTGAGACCCGAGAATGGAGGCAATGTGTACAGAAACGAGTGACGACGTCCTTGTAGCTTAAATAATAGATAGATTCATTACAATCGTTTATAAAACAAGATGCTTCCATTCACAGCCATATAAATATATATCAGCTGACCGCTACTTACAAATATTAACTAGATTTGAGTTACAATATTTGAAATATAATTGTTATTCTTATTATATGTAATGTAAATGAATTGTTCAAGTCGCTTAGTGGTCGATGTGTGTAGTATTCTGTGTAGGTCGGTGAGGCAGGTGCGTGCAAGGCTCGTAGTGACGTCACGTCCGTAACATTCAATGGGTTCTCACTATGTGGGCCACACGTGTCATCCCCCCCCTACCCCCCTACCCCCACACACACCCGCACCAACAATTCTGCTCTAATTGCTGACAACTATGGGAAATAGTGCGAAATATATTTGTGTCAAGAATTACTGTTCGGTCGCGATAATGACTAAGCTAATTTATAGTTCGGCGATAACTCAAATGATCATTGAAATGTAACGTACATGTGCGTGCGTGTGTGTGTGTGTGTGTGTGTGTGTGTTTGTGTGTGTGTGTTTTTGTGCGTGTATATTTGTAGTAATAAATCGTTTAGGATGTGGGTAGTTCTGTGAATTGGGTCAGAAAACCGGAAAGAGGATGCGGTTGAATAATACATTTTTATCAAAGCCATCGTATATAGGTTAGTGTTCGTTTAGTTTGCTCGGTCTCATTTAACATTCAAACGAGGGCAGCCATCAGACATCAGCCACGTGACTTACGCAGAAAGACAATAAGTTTTAAAACGGAACGGTTAATGACGAAATGAGCCGGTGAAGGAACGGCAAGTATGTAGGACAACTATTGATAGTGAGACACAGAGAACACGAGGCGCCTGCTGGCAGTGAGGAGCAGACACGACGGACGAGAACTGTGATATACACACGACAAAGACTGGTATAGACATGACAAATGTTACGGATACTAATACAGATATCAATCATAGAAAGAGAAGTTAAAACTATGCACATAATAATCTTTAACTACCTCTATAAAAACAGCACGTTCCAAGAAGAAAAAATATAATAAATCCACTTTAAAGAGAAAGGTGATGAAAGGTGTACAGAGTTAAAACTAGAAAGTAATTTATATGACAAAGGATTACTGTTTTATTTGATGGAGACACACCGAAGCGTTCCGAGGCTGGTATGTAGTAAACAAATAGAGAACTGTAAAGACGGAATTAAGATCACTCGTTATCAGTGGATCCGAGGCGAGGGAGAAGCTGTACCGAGACGGAATGTGGCAGGTAGAGAGATAGGGCGCACTAACGGACAGTTATTTCGCAGAGTATAGGCTGGCGTGAATGGCCGGGATGCAGTGAGGCTGCAGCGCCCCCCCCCCTCCGGCGCATTCCTCGCGGCCGCTAGCCGCTTGCGCAACCTCCGCTGCATTCCATTCATAGCGGCGCGCGACTCATTAAACACGCGCCTCTGCTCCATCCCGCCGGCGTCTGTTCGCACTGCTCCTCGCCTGCCAGCCTGCCAGAACATATAAACGCCTGAGGTTTTTGTAATTCGGAGCGTTACGCCGCATTTCTTGGTAAAGTTCACGGCGGTCAGCCGCTGTGAATTCCGTCGGACGTTGACCCCGCCGCCGCTGCTTTCTCCGTCTAGCTGTTTGCTATTGGAACGAATCTATTGATTGCAGAAACACAGTTTACACATGAGCGTGGAAAGTAGACTTCGGAGATAATGACGATGTAATCGATTTGTATGAAAAAAACTTATAACTGCGGAATATGTACGGGCCTCTACGTCACGATACATGTTTATAACAACAGAACACACACAGACACACACACACACAGACAACGATCACTGAACAGTCTGTGAATCATTACCGGCATCGGGCCTGAGATCGATAATGTTTTATTGTGAGAAATAATCTATCAGATATAAAAAGCGGACGGCGTGTGTGTTGTTCACACGGGGATATCCCGATATCGGAGAGGTTCGAGTTACATCGAGACGGGCGGAAACGAATCCTACCTCGAAGACTAGGAGCCTGCCGAAGGTACGGCAGAGGCTGCGGGCCGGACGGACGGCGGGGAAATGTCACCGGGCGGCATTCCGAAATATTTGAAACGACCTTTATGGCGCGAAAGAAAGTGTGAGAGGGTGTGGAGGGTGAGGCGCGCGGGGTGCGGGGGTGCTCGACCGTGGGACAGCGGCGCGCGCGCCAGTCGCACGGAGCACCCCGCCCGCGCCTCTCGCATTCCAGCGACTCCCTCCGAATTTATTCAGCCGCGACCCGCTTAGCCTGGCCCGCCGTTATTATTTAGTAAACATCTGACAGGTGGAAATTATATGATAACCGATCTAGCTGCGCGTAGGAACACCATGCCCTTTTATGACGCTTGAATGTTTTGAGTTTGGTCAGTCGCACTAATAAGGTGACGATGAATTAATAACATTTAGATTACTTGTCTATGTTACATTCAGTTCCGAGGGTTTAGGAGTATCAGTCAATTGCGACTTTATTTATATATTTATATAAATTAAATCCTGACAAGTACCTAATAAAGATATTGCGAGGAGGTTCCTTGTACAGTCTTTAACGTTTAGAGAATACTCAATACATGTTTTTTATATGATGATAGTGATGATTCTCCCGCGTCATGACCGCCGTGTCTCGTGTGACAGGCGGTAGCGGGAGCGGGCGGTCCGTCGTAAATAGCCCGTGTCGGCGGGCACTGCTCCGCTGTCCGGAGCCAGACGCTTCAAGTCGTTACTCTATTTAAAAACGTCGCCGGCCGGCGGGGAATGTGCTGGCGACCCGCAGCAACGGAAACGACACACTTCCAGCCCGGAAACTGACGCCTTAGGGATATATACGACATAAACTAACACCATATATATATCATGTATATACGTCACTGACACTACTATCAATCTACTTCTATTAAATTTATAACTGTTATTTTAGTATGTCTCCTTTAGAAGGTCTATAGTCGCCTTTATTCCTATACTACATAGGGTGTAATGTCTCATAGATGTGTTTATATGTTCGTATATTTCGCTAGTGTAAGTCCGCCCGGTTCGTTCCGCTCGGCGCTAGTTCACCGGAGATGGGCGTAATAAATACTATGTAAGTCATCGTTAATAAGAGATACGGGGATCATGTTCAAGCTCAGCGTGGACGCACAAGCCACGTTAGTTAGAGACGAAAACATTACGTTAATTATTTTCAATCCCTTACATTTGTTCTAATTTGAGAATTACTCATTACTGACCGAGACTTATGAATTAAAGTTTATATAATGGAAAAACTATTGCGCTGTATATATTATTATTATTATTTAAGATATTTTATAAAACAGGAGTTATTTGAACGTTTAATGAAATCTCCTTTGCAAAATTAAACTTACATCATTTTTCTATATATTTCTCTTCAATCCAGAGCGTTATTTTTTAAACATCAAGCGATTCTAGATGTATAATTATTGATTATAAAAAAATGTATAATCTCAAATACGATTTATTCCTTCTTTATTATTATATATTTGTTACAAGCTACGGGAATGCTACGAATATTGCTACGTCATAATTAATTTTATTTAATATATTATTATTATTATAATATACATATCAATCAAACAACAAACATCCATGTCAGTTCCTCGCCGACTAATCGTATTCCCTTACGGTGTTATTCAAAGTACATTTCGCAGACAACTCAAATTCCTTTCGATTGCGTACCGAGTTGTTAATATATACGAAGGAAAACATTCCACCGGCGTGTCATGTGACGGGTGTCGGTTACAGATGACTAAAAGAACAGTAAATAACAGAAACAGAACTATGGAGACGAGCTAGAATAGTAGAGAAATGTATGAGAGTTTATTATACTCAAGACTCTAGGGTTATAAATAATGTATTTAAAACAAACTCGTGATTTTAAAGTGGAATAAATTTATCCCAAACATTAAATTAAAGAAAACTAATCATTAACGTGAAATATTCTATAATAGCGACTTTCATGTTTCAGTAGTTGTTCGAGTTATGTTTCCAGTTGAGTGTCGCGGTCAGGTCGACTAGCGGCGCCTGTAGTCTCTCGAGTCTCGAGTCTATAGTCTAGACCTACATTGTGTATTGTTTCATTAGTCCGTAGTTCGGCGCCAGTCGATTTGCCGCATGTATTATTCAAAGCGGTCCGCGACCTCACCGCCCCACAATTTCGTTCGCCTTGTCCCGACGTCACTAATTACACTGTGACACTTTACGTTGCACGGTATTCATTTATAACAGCGTATTTCCCTATAGTTATTGGTTAGTAGGTAGTAGTGACTCCCCACGGCAGGCCTCTATGTGGTCAAGGTTCCCTAAACTACCTGACGTTCAGATATTAAGTTGAAATGAATACCTCATAAGTTTGCTACTTATAGAACATCTACCAGTTAGATTCGGATGTCGGCTGTAGTGGGGTCAATTAAAATATTTGTTATCAAATGTAGTGAAATTTGAGTGAGGCGCCGAGCGAGATGTGAGGCTCGGTTTAGGTGTAAAGGTCGTTGACCGATAAGGTTCGTGTAACGACGACCTGATGTTTTAATTATTATTTTTTGGCTGTAACTACATGTGAGAAAAAAAAATTGTAAAATTTCCAATGATAGATGAATTGAAACTAGTAACATGTATGAATATATATTTAAAACAATTAATTAATAGTGTGTCGTTGTGGGCAGGTTGTGTCGCGCCTGTAAGGTGCTTCTTATCGCGCCATTGTTTTCACCGACAGATTTATAACTTCCCTTTGGCCCCAATAAGGGCCCGCGACCTCAGCACCTACTCTACTCAACGACGCAAATACTCCGATTCATGTTTACTATGCCCCTATAATATTTATAGAGCACACACACACACGCACGCACACACAAATAAAACCGTGTTTAATTATATTATCATCCAAAATATATAGATTCCAATGTATCAATTAATTTAGATAATTAACTCTAATATTACTAAGTGACGGTCGAAGTCCAAATGTTCGTCTAATCTATATATAAGTATGTTTAATACGGATTATGTTGTACGTACCTCGTATGACGTCACGCCTAAAACACTCCCCGGCCTGGAGGAAAACATCGCGAACCAGCTATCCTGAAAATGTTTGGAAATGTTCTTAAACACATGGAAATAAAATCATAGAAAAGTTATTTTTTATAAATAAAAGAAAAATAATATTTTTTGGCAAAACCGTATGTTTTCAACCGTTAACCCATCGGTCGTTATATGGGTCGCTGTTGCTTCACAATCCTTATCTACCGAGATATGGTGGCGCAACTAGGCCACGTGACCCTCCTTAACCCACAAAACAAAAATATTGAGCAAATGTTTACCAATCATCAAACTGTAAGGCGCCATCTACATTCACGGCGTCCCGGCGACGGAAACGCCGCGACTATATGAGAATATGACAAACATACATACCCAAATACAACTCCGAAACTATATAGAAATGTAACGTATCATGAATAATTTTTGTTAGGAAAAAAACGCCGCGATCCCGCTGACTAAACGACCGGCTAAAAAAACGCCGTTGACGTTTAACACTGATAAAATTAAAGCTACATGTGAAATAGCCACATTTTTTCATATGAAAGTTGTTATCAATGTTTATTATGGAAATAAGGCTAATATTAGTTTCCCAGCGCTTCAACTATCGATGGGAAATGTCGTGACACGTACAATGAGAAAATAACATATTTAGGCAATTATCAATTTTTCGCGCTAATTTTGTCGCTCGTTACTGTTTCTTTTTTCTAATTGTTTCTTTATTGCACATTGTTTTTTGACACGACAATATTTTTTAATTATATGATTATAATTATCAATTATCTGTTTTATATATTTAAATAATCAGAGGACTGTTGGTAGTGACTTGACATTTTTATATTTATATAGCATCAAGTACTATGTATATATCAACAATATAAAATGTGCTTTATTCATAAGGAATGTACCGTTACTAAAAAAAATATGTCTAAAACAGTAATCGGTCAGAAAAACGATGAGTCGTGTTAATAGATCGGCGTGTCGCTGGAACTGGTTGTAGTAGAGTGATGTTATAAAAAGAGACAATTACCGAAATGCCCGTGGTATGTATGATAGGCGCGTGACGTCATACAGGCAGGCGATGTCATGTAGGTGCAATGGAATGCGGCGCGCTAACTAACGGTGCGGAGCGGACAGAGCAGCACGACTACACTCCCAGGCCGGGCCGAGATCGCTGCTCTCAGATAAGCGAGCCAGCGATACGAAATCCAATAAGCCATTTCCTTGAAGCTCTCACAGGCACCGCGGCTCAAAAAAATTACCAAAGACGAACAAAAAAGGCCCGTGAATAAGGCGGGAGCGCGAAATAAGAATGGCCCCGGTTCTGGGAAGGCTCGGCGCCGGTGCAGGCTTTACAACCTTTATAATGATCGCTTTTTGTGGCGCGACCCTTATTGGCGCACCGTGGGGCTGGGAACCGCCGCCGCCGGCTCGCACCACACACTCACGTATTAACATACGCTCCGTCCCACATGCTGCTGCAGCCTGGTGGGACTCCGCTCATCCGTCGGTGGGAGGAAGTGCTTATGAAACGAGCGCCCACACTGACGACGGAAGCGGAGACCCAGTAGGCGGCGCGAGCGACATGTGCCGTCACTCTGATATGACATATCAGGAGCGGCCGAGGCTGGAGGGCGAAGGGCGACCCTACGTCAGCAACATGTGAGTCACTTACACGTGTCGCTGACGTAGCACCTGGTCGACATTATCATATTAAACGAGCTCCCTGGACACGACCGTCCACACGTTCCGAGAATTATGACAGATCTACATATTTGCTATTTAATTTCACAGACTAATACATTTTTAACGAATAACAAATAACATGACAAATATATGTTATGAAATATATTTAATAAGAGAATTATTTATTAAAAAAATATTCTTTCCTTAACGGAAGCTGTAAGGAGTCCTTTAAGAATATTATTTATAAGATGGAGTTTTAATAGATTTCCATTAAACTCCATGTCGAAAAGGAAAAAAAATGTATTGTTTTTTAAAGTAATAAATAAAATAATTTGAATAATATAAAATATTTTACGTTTTCATAGTTCTTTTAAGTGTCTAAACTCGTCTGGAATGTTTAGAAAACGTTTTAAAACAGGAGGGATAGTAATGTCAATGTACAGTCGGGGGTGAGCGGGGTGTCCACCAGCCACCAGCCAGCAGGGTCACGCTCCGGTGACGTGCGCCCTTCGATAACGACTAACATCTCATTGTTCCATTTATTACCAACGTAAAGATCTCTATCACGACTTCATTAACTCATCACCCGGCCCCACTCACGGTGGGAATATTACGTGATGACGGAATTAAAGCTTTCGACTACCCTCAGTTTAATTGTAATTTATGACATATGTCTAATATATTTCAAGTGACAGATGAGAGGAATCGAGAACGTATCATTTGTAATATATTATAATCTTACGACAGGGGACGCGGTTTTCCATCAACAAGCAGTGGTTCATCACAGTTTTTCACTTAGCACACTGATTCACAGTTAACGAATATGGTCCAACGGTCGGCACGAACGTCACTCGCTGACAGCACTGAGCGGGCCCGGGCGAGTCCCGAGCGTGCCCGGAGGAGCGAGCGGGCTCACTGAACAGACCGATAATACAAAAAGAAGCAGAGGTTACGGTGTTATCGACGGACACATGAATATTCGAAGACGCGAGGGTCACGAGTGAACGCGCGGCGTAGCATCGCCCCGCGGCGTGAATGGAGCGGCCGACATTTATGAATAGAGGGACGGCGCTCATTGACCTGAGCGGCGGCAGCGGCGTCGCCGGCGCCCAGCCCGCCCGCGCCGCGCCGCGCCACGCCACGCCGGCCGCGCGCCGCGCCGCCCGACGGACGTTCCCACCGAACATGGCGGCCGCAGGAAGTGCGCAGCTTACCTACCGGGACGTCCTCGCACCGAGCCGACCGCCGTGCGAGGACCCGCATGCGCAGACATACATACCACGAAAAGTGCGCGCGATCACTAACTTAGGAATAAATTATTCGCACTGTTATCTAAAAATATTCGTTTGCGTCGCAGAGCGGAGGCCGCGGGGCGATCGGACGCGGAATCGCACACGCGAACTGCTTCCCCGCCGCGGGGAGACTGATGAGGGCAGGCCGCGCCGGCGCCGGCGGAGGCTCCGGCGCACGCGCGCACCGCCCGCCGTCCCGCTCCCGCGCCCGCCCGGCCCGCGGGAGGGAGCGGGACGGAGACAGCTCGCGATCACAGCGCCGACTCGTGAACACCAATAGACCGAAGAGTAGGGACAAATATTCGACCTTCACTACGCGCACGCACACAGCCGCGCGGCCGGCTCCGTGTGACGCACACACGCGCACGCGCCTCGCGAATCGTTCGCTCGCCGCAGCGCCGCTGTGCTACTTTTGACAATTTTTCCAGAAAACTGACATGCACCGTCGCCGTGGACGAGACGCGCCTCGCCACGTGGCTGCGGCCGAGGTGGTGAGGCACTCGTGTACCTCAAACACCTCACACACACTACACATATACTATATTATACATAGGAGATTTTTCAAAATCATCAAAGAAATTTTAAAAATCAAACGCGTCGTCTGTCTAAGGATTGGTCCGCCGATTTTTTTTAATGAATTAAGGTATATGATTAAATATTAAGAAAAAACCCATGTGGTCGCTATCAAAAAACAACATATTTATTATAAAAGTCATATAAACACGAGTAAATTGATTAAAACAAAAGAAATCAACATTATATATAGCTATTCCTGAAATAAAAAATACTTGTAATTTTTTTCATTTTCAGTCAGTTATTGTCTATATTGAGGTAATCACTAATTTGTAGAACTACCCACATTTATGAAGATGCCAAAAAAATGGAAGCATTTCTTAGGGCGCGTCTTTCAAAACTGTTTCTACCTACCTTCTTAAACGATTAAATTATTTAATTTCGATTATTTCTATTCTATTTGATATTATTTAGTGTCTAAATATTAAACTATCATTTTTCGTTCATACCAATTTGATCCATATATCCACAGGCTAAGGCAGTTTTTCCAGTGAATATATCTAAATAATAACAAAGGTAAAACATTAAAAATATGATTTAATATAAACCAAGAAACATAATGAAATTGTTTAAAATCATAAAATTAAATTTCTTTAAGCATTTTTCTGTAACTTATTTAGGTTATTTTTAATCTGTATTCTACCTACCTTAGAAGAAATAAATTGTTAATAATTTAATTAAAATGAATTATTTAAAGTAAAACAAACTTAAATTATGCATTTTTATATTTTTTTCTTTGCAATAAATTTACATATTACAACATGAAAATATATTAAACGATAGATGAGTTTAAATGAAAATAATAAAATAAAAATCTATTAAATAAATTAAAATTGGTATATATATTTTTTATATTAGAAGGAAATGGTATTTATTATGTTAAAAATATATTGAAGGATGACAACATTGAACATATTAACATCAAGAAGGGAAATGCAAGGAAAATACAATTTATCTTCATTTATTATACAAATAAATTTATTATTTTGATGAATTTTTCAAAAAATATACTAATATAAAACTGTTGATAAAATAAATATAATTATTTAAATATTTTTTGGCAATAACGTTTATTTAAAAAAACATTCCAATAAGCAGTTTAGATCTATTTATTTACCAAAGATTACACTTATAAAAACTATTTTTTTTAATAAAAATTATTAATTCAATTTCAAATATTTTAGTAAGAAATCTAATAGAAAAATTATATTAATATATTTGCTATAATTCAAGAAACAATGAAATACTATCGACATTGCTTAACCAGTAGACTTTGAAGATATTTCTCGTATAAAAAAAATATTTAAAAAATCAATTTTTTGTAAATTTCTATTACATAACACGCATCATTATCAAATGAATAGTAAAAGATTAAATAAATTAATAATATAAGACTTAATCTCCCAAAAAACGTAGAAAACATTGTGTGTGCGAGTCGATTTTATAAGGTGTACAGGAATCGTCGGTTTTAGGTTAAAAATATGTTAATATGTAAAATTTTTTTACTAGTCCGTATAGGCGCTGAGTTGTAGGGGGGGATGGTGGGGGTTAAATGTATCAAAAGTCCCCGTCAGTGTTGCCACACGCGCCCCTCTACCGCCCGCTATACATTCATACTAGCAACACACGTAAACTACTAAAAACATTAAAACCTATATAAAATCGCTGTTTATTATTATTATTTAATTATAATTAAAATTTAATATATATATAAAATGTAGTTCAATGTCGACATATCTATATGCGACCTAATTTTTTTTGATACGTCTATTTCAAACATTTAATTTTGATTGTTCTTTGAAGTTTCCAAGTTGAATCTATTAAGTTAATATTGTATGTCTTGAATCTCGGGTCTGTTGTCGTCGGAATTCCATATTGTTATCTGTACAGGACCCAAGGTACCTTATCTTGGTCTCAAACTTAGATAACTCTCTGCTTTTGAATGATATTCACAAAAAAATTACACATCGCGACTGTATACTCTTACTAAATATAATGGTAGGTAATGCACGAAAAACAGATTAAATTGAAAGAAAATTAAATTGAAAGAATTCTGTTTGAATGCCTAAATAAATATAAGATATAATCTAAGAATTCCATTAATGCATTCCTTTAACAGTGTTGCCAAAATTTTGATATATATTTAAATTTTTAGAACATTTGAGTAACTTTTATATGCTGTAGATTAAAAGCAATTTTCTTAAAAATCTATTAACCAGCAATATTCCATGTATTAATTATTATTAATATATTCTTAAAAGATAACTTAACGAGACTATTAACAGAAGAAGCAAAAGTACTATTTAGTAGAAAAAAATAAGTACTGGCAACACTCTTTATTGGTGTGTCAAATTAATCGTTACGTTTGAAACATCACGGAATGTTGAGCTCGAAGAAATTAAAAGTACCCTAGCTTGAATTAAATAATGTTCATTAAAGTTATAAAATATAAGAAATATATTTTATTAATTATATGAAAGTATTAATAATATAAATAGTATGTCTTAAATATTAAACAAAAATGATTTTAAACTATTATCAATATCACGTCAAAGATATTTAAGAATTTCACAAGCGAAATTTTTAAGTTATATTAATTCAGATTAAAGATATAATGGTAGGTAGATTTAGTACCTATTCGTGTATTCCGAGTAGAGTAATATTTGGCGAAGTGTGGCAACTGTGTGGCTTGTGGCGAATGGCGTGCAGTCGTCTTCTCTCAGCCGTGACTTCCGGCCGGGGTCAGCGAACGGAGGGCCGATAGCTTTCTTGGGCAACCCTTCACGATGAGAAGAGGGTAGTGTAACTATTAATGTATTGATAGCAACAGATCTATCACACGTGTAGTTCGCTAGCCTTCTATTTGTAAACCAGCGCTGAGGGCCGCACATTCCTCACGTGCCTCGTGCCCTAAGCTCACACCAAGCTATCAACGACGAGCTATCGGTAGCTATATGTACAGCTATAACGTTTTACATTGCTTGTTCTAACTCCCTCCTCATATCTAGCCACGGGCTTACAAAGCGTTGTACAGCAAGCAACGTGTTAGCTCCGTCTAACGTCACATCAAGTCCAAGAATTTGACTCGATTCTCAAGTTCTATTAAAGGCAATGCTACTGTAACTGTCAAATGCGCTATATTGTTGGGAAGATCTCGTTAAATACCTCCACCATATTTGGTGCACTGTATACTGATATTGTTGCTCGCTATATTAATATTATAAGTTAGTTTTAAGTTAATTTAACTTTTATCGCAATTGGGTATAATAAAGTTGTTTCGTTTGAAGTGAATGGTTACTTTTAAGTTCTACATAGAAATATCTTTAAATCATGTTTTACTGATTTGTAGTTAAGTTATGGAAGGTTAACATAACGTGATATCATAGGTGTAACAGTTCTATAACTTGCAATAATCTATAATATTAACCAAAATACATTATTATTATTTATATAAAACTTCTATCTTACATGAATATTTTATTTGAAACCTTCGAAACAATAATTTTGTTCGAACTCCGTTAAACCTAAATCTAACCAAGAAGTTTCTATTCAATGGAATCAAAGAATCTCAAACATACAACAATAAAAAGACATTAAAATAACTCGAGCTAAAGTTTTCACAGATCGATAAAAAACCCAGAGAATAAAAAAAGAAACGCATGTTTTTTTTCTTCTAAATTTTTCAAAGTAATCCTCAAATAAGACTAAATGGTGAGCATTGATAATGAGGTGTACAGAAGTACAGTTCCCGCATTCCGATGAATGGGGAGCGGGCGCCGGGGGGAGGGGGCGGGGGGCCCGCGGTCCGGGGGGGGTCCGGGGGGCGCTCGCATGCCTGCGCGTGCGCCACTACAACAATACTAACAATCGTTACAACAATTTCTAACAGGTGTCCAGTCCAAAATTTTCGGTAAAGCTGACAGTGGCATATTAAACAGCCCAACTATGGCTAATCCAAAAACCCAAAGACCATGGAATAAATATTCTAAAGACACATATTTTTTGGGTGTACGTACTGCTTTAGACATTTATAATTTGGAGCAAATTTAAAGAAAGAAAATCGATTTTTTTTGATTAAACATCAATTGCTGTATGCATCAGATGCTACTATCAAATCTCGGAGTCAATTCTCCTTCATCTTAATGATAACAATTGTACATAAATCCTTCTAAATTTCAGTTATAAGTGAAACATTAAGAGTAAATCAGTTAAAGATATCAAAGCTTGATGTTAGTAAGGTGTTTGAGTGTGTTCAATTGTCGAGTAAGGGTACTAGTTACGTGTCTAAGTAGGTACTAGTTAGTGGAATGTTAATTTGCGGTGCAGTGTCATAAGTGAGTCAGTCCGATGTCCGACCACCGCCGCCGCTGGATATTAGAACATGTTCTGTCGGAATGCGGATGCTTCCAAGAATTAACAGCTAGCCGATCTATTTGATCGATTCCTTCCTATCATTGTGTCATTGTCGAATCACGCAAACTATCACGTTTTTATGTCATATACCTACTGTTTATTCATGTTTATCTTGTATTGTGGCTCATTGATGTGTCTTCTTTGAATTTTTTATAATATTATAATAAATAATTACACTACTTACACTAATCTGAACGCTATGTGGTCGTGTTTATTTTTGGGGGAGTAATCTTCACTCATATATTATATTAGGATATCAATATTTTGCTAAAACTCATGTTTTCTATGTCCATGTTTATGTTATGACGATTTCTTTAGTTCTATCGTCTCTAGCGAGAGTGTGATCTAGACACTAGACACTTACATGAGTACATTGACACAGCCAATAATACAAATGTAATGTTTAATATGAATGAAGACATTCCATTATAATGTCACCGCTCGCCGCTCGCCGCTCACCGGTGTATCAACAATGTAAGTGTTAGAGCAGCTTGCAGGTCGCGTGCGGCGGCAGGTGCTCCGCCAGCCGGCCTCCCTACACGAGAGAGTCCCGCACGAATTACAGCTTATTTAAAGCACGGTGGGTGTCGATCTAAACCACTAATCATTAACAGCCACCAACCACCGATTACTTGTTTTCTTCGTTACATTTTTAAACTAATTACCTCCTCGGTAGCATAAATTTGTGAAGACAGGTGCGGTTTTTAGGCCAATCTTGATACACAAGTTAGTTACAAAGATAAAACGATAAATGTATAGATGAACTACTTATTACCTTCTTGGGTTCAACGAATAGGTTTTTTGTGTTATGTAGTCTTTTGTATGAAGTTGGCTGAAGTCATTGTTATCTGAAGACGTCACTTGAATATCAGAAGTTAAAATTGTATGAGAGAACCAACTTCTTCAACTTCAAACACGTAGTTCAAGAGATGCTTAAGGGTCTTAGAAAAATGAATTCTTTTCTCCTTATTTTAACTATTCTACTCTATTCCAAGCCACAATACTATGTTCTTTTCAAGGAGGTCGTAGTAAAATACCTTGGAACAGCTGAAGAAATAAATTAATATGGAAATAGTAAAACTTGTGCAGGCTGTCTAATAAATAGACGTACTAACAAGCCTACTTCCAGGAATATTATGAATAACATTAATATCTACTAAACGTATTTTCTATCGTAATAGACCAATTTGTCTTCGTCTTTTATCTAATTATTGGGCTTATTTTAAGTTAAACCACATTATGTTTATTTAACTAAGTTTAAAAGGGTTTATTATATATACACATAAGTTGGCCGATTGATAATATCAAAAAAACTCCAAATTTATATGATACTAAAAATAAAAAATATATATTTTCTTCTAACAAACAAGATACAAATCAATTTTGGGATTTTTTAAATTAAAAATAATCAATTAAGACTGCATTAGAAGCAGCGTATCATGCACATATACTTGAAATAATATCCAAGTTATAATCAGAACTCAAAACTAACTGAAACAAGTAAACACGACGTATAGAGATGTTTAATTTAAGTTATTGGTACACAAATGTATTGTAAGTTTTAAATATTCATAGCGTATTATTGTATTAGTAACGTGTCCTCTATGATAAGTCGGGTTGGCAGCGACGGAATGAAAGTGGATCAGGGTTTGTCAACATTCGGTGTCAGCTGGCCCCGCCACGATAGCTGTTATCGACCGAGGGACATAGTCCGCTCATTCACAACTTACTCCATTCATACTCCCGGCATAATCATACAAACACGATACACGACCTTCATTATATAGATACAAGGTTTATAATCGCGCACGTCGTTCACCAAGTTGAGGGGCGTACGAGGGGCGGCGGGGAAGTAGATCGAGGATATCGTGGGGTCAGCGCGGATTGCAGGCGCCCGATAAACGATGTCGTTAACAATAAACTAATAATACACAATTGAAATACACTAGCAACCAGATATATATACTTAGTATATGTATTACTACTCATATGTATGTCTGTGAATACCGTCAGTTTCGACGTCTGTACCTAGTTAAGTTACATTGGTAATAGTATTCATTAATCAGATCTGTAAGTGACGCAGTCATCACGGATTATTCGTATTGAATCATTGGTAGTTAGTGATGACACACACAGTCAAGTATGCCATAGATTCTGTATAAACCTCACTCGTCCTTGGCAGTAGGTACTGAGACTTGAGACTTATGGCTTACAGTACCATGACGCTCATGTTCCAAGGAAACCATGACTAATCATGAGTCATAGCATTCAAATCAATATTTCATAACATTTAGCAAAATCTTCAAGAATTCTTCCAAGATCGTAGGATTATCCTCACGAGGTCAGTATTTCAACGTCTCTAGCCAGGACAATCAAATATCATTCTTATATGTCATTAATAGAGTCATTATTCCTTCAGCAGTTATTCGAAGCGTAATGAGAGCGTATATTCCTATATGTTATATAAAATTATTCGCTGCGCAATAATTGTTATAGTGCGTAATTCTTAATCTAATGTGTGTTATATCGAAGGTTACTTCTGCTGGTGATCTCCAAGCGGGATTCATCACCTAGAAAGGTTCTTTACATGAGTATGCTTATCTGTTATTTCCAAGATGTAGGCGCCACCACAGATATCCTGAGCGTATATCAGTAAACGATTTGTTTACACAGTTAATCGTAATCGTATCCGGTGACCCGTTTAAAGTGTTCCGTTCCGTTATTGTACGCGTCGCACACCACCAGCCACCAGGCGCCTGCGATAATGGCCCCCGAACATTAATTCCGATGATACCAGGAATTGGTATACAAGCTATATTTTAGAGTTTATCTTCTATACGTTAATTAATACATCCTGGTGGAGCGCCGCCTGACATATCAGGTCGGGTGATGTATTTGCAACTTCTTAATTAGGATCCCCTTTTCCGGAGCTATGGGTGATGACGTCACAACGAAAGCATAGGAAGCGAGATTAACTGTCCCCATTGATAAAGCATGAATGAACCGCTGCCAATAAAACATGCCCGCAAGAAGTCGCCCCGTTCACGAATCATTATCAATATATATACACAAAAAAATTGATTGTGAGCCCGCGTCTTATCGCTGGCCTTATTAGAGGGCGGAAGCGGCGCGGAGCCGTTCATTCATGTTGGACGTATTTATTTTACAACATGCAGCGCAGATAGTGGCTCACATACGAACATCTCCTCCACCACCTCCAACCTGCTGCGCTCACTGTACACCGACATGTATATGGAATACTATGGTTTGATGTTAAATTACAGCGTTTGGTATTCGATCGGTGTAATGTTCAGATAAGATGTTTGTTGTAGCGTGTGTTTGCTTCCAACCGTCTGGAGGTTGGGAGCGGAAGTGGTGGAGGGCTTGGGGGGGGGGGTTTCTAATTGCTGGGTTTCGGGAGGTCACACGATAACCCGCGCCGGAAGCCGATAGCACTTTGACGTGGCGACGCCGACTCTCTATCCCATGAACACCCTGAACCAAAGACGCCCCTATTACATGGTAATAAGGACCACAATATGCTGACCGGCTAACGGTGCACTTGATATTGGTTATTTGGTTTTATTACGGTCAATGGAATTTTTTTTTTCGATATCGAGCTCTCAAATTCGACCTATGAAAACATTGTGAGATTAATATATATTATTTAAGTGGATGAATCAGACCAACAAGTTTTTATATAATTTTTGTGGTCCTCCGAACAATGTTTCATTTTACGCGGGCAGGACGTTCCAAATTCAAAAAGCGTGTATATATATATTATTGAATTATAAAGTTTGTAATGGCGTTGCATTAACAGGATGCATGTTATATTTTTCCGTGTTATGTGAACGATAATTCATTGGAAAAAACCTATGGGTTCCCAGTAATCCATTGACGTCATTCCAATAACACGCTCTTTGTTCCTTGTTTGAAAAAAATATCCCTATTACGTACCTTATAACGATTGGCATTAACGCTTGTCATATATTTTATTTTCCCGCCATTTTTACATATTTTTTTTTTAATAAACAGCCAGGTCAAGACCCGTAAATGTATTCCGTAAATAATAATATAATAATCTTGTTTTACTAACTGTAATTATCCCTATACATTTCCTCATCTTAAATATTGTTATCGTAATGCTTTGTAATATTTTAATTTATTACTTTTATTTCCATATAAATAAAATTGCTTATTAATAAATATAATTAAATCTTTGTATAAAATATAAAAATAATGGTAAAATTAATTTAAATTGTTTATATTATACGATTACTAAAATAAATGTTTTTTTTTAACTATAGCTTCATTCGCACTAGAATCGTGTAATTATTTGCCAATGTCAACGTTTATATTTGTTTGATTAATTGAATTTTATATTTTTTAAGTATATATAAATTAGTAAACGTGATTAGCATAGTCTTTGGTGACGACGAATGGTGCATATATAAAAATATATATAATTTTATGATTTTTTTTTTACCATTGTCATAAGCATCAGTATAAAACATAACTTGAATCAATTAAGACACGATAGTTTAGTTTCTAAAGCGACTGCGATTCAACTTTATTATAGGTGCGGGTTCAATATTATATGCATTTTTAAATTATTTTATTGTAGTTTTAATACACTCATTGTAAATATTGTTTCAAAACAATTTTGTGTATAGTTTTGTCATATTAAATAAAAGTACATGACTCATAAGTAAAGTAATTTCATGTATTAATTAAATATTGGGTAACAACGGTTATCGGTTATGACTAATTTAAAACGAAATAATAAAAAATATGACGTTCTTAAAATAATAAGATGTTGCAATAGATTAGTTAAAAAATAAGATTTACTTATAAACAGAAATGAGAATTAAATTGATATTTCGTAACCACCATTTTGTTGAAGGATCGTTAATACAAGATGGCGGATGACGTTCACTAAGGATTAGGTACATTTGACGTAATTAATTTTATTAATATACCTTTATATAGCATTTATGTCATAAATAAAAAAATACAGAAATATATTACTTATTTAAATATTAACTTACATTTAAAAAAATTATTGTTTAATTTTTTTTATGAGTATTTTATTTAATTTGAAATTTACTACCTATAATTTTTTTTAAACTAATAGTATTGTAATATATTACTTTGAACTAATTAATTAATACACTTAAATGAAACTAATATATTTCGTATATTTATTTATTTTTGTAAAAAATTACTTTCCAGCAACAGTGATTAGGGTATAACCGAAAAATATTAGTTGCATTTAAATGAATAAAACTCGAAAGTCTTTACCTCATTAATTAATAAAGTTATTTAAAGTCAATCCGATTTGAGCGTAGATAGGAACTGGTAGGAACAAATATTTTGATTAATATTTTTTTAATAATCACATCTTAATGAAGACGAAAGTCAAATATGAACATATTTTGCTACCAACAGATAATAAACATTAATTCTCATTAAACAAACAGTTACCATATATTAGATTAAATAATAAATTATTCTCGTATATATATAAATTCCATTAACCACAATCAATGTTTAATATCTGTTCAACCTTTAGTTCATGGGGATGCATGAGGTATGCAGCTGCGGCGCGTGCGCAGGTGACCGACTCCACAACGATACGATACAATGGATCGAAATTTAGGGATTTTTGATACAGATTATAATGTGTATGTTACTTATTGACTATTGTATACTTATGGTATAGTTATTGATAAAATCTACCGCGTCACTACTCATACTGCCTGTGATGTTGTACGAGTTGGGATTTCTGAACGATTGATGCTTGAATTTGATTAATCAATGGTGTTTTTTATTTTTTTGAATTAAATTTGATGAATATTTAATTAATCTTATACTAAGTATATTTAGTATTGATTTAAATAAATAATCTTATATATTTTCAAGACATCGATATCATTAATATAGGTATAGAGTAACAACGCTGTCTACTTTAATCTCTTTTTATATCTCTTAAAAATTTTTCGGCTGAAAACAATTAAACACTGCGACAATAATTACGAAATAAAAAAAAACAAACGTCATGTTTAAAATTTAAAAAAATGGAACAAGAAAATTTGAATTTTGTATTTTTGAATTTGGAACGATGTTAATATAAAAACGTCTAGCTTAGATAGAGCTATTGTTTTACAGTTAATAGTAATATAACTACTTATAACGTATATGTAAGTATTGCTATGTAGTTTATTATGTATTTATTATATATGTATATATGTATACATAGTGTAGGTATGTTCACACGTGCTCCAACGTATTTCCCCAGTATAACGTAATGTATTCCGCTAATTTAACAATACTTTTATCGAGCAATCTTAAGGTGGTTTCCTTTGAAAGGGTTGCCGTCACCTGCCGCTGCCACCTGCCGCAACCTACCCGACACAACCTGTACCTAAACTATACATACAGATTTATAACACTACCTACCACTACTAATATAAAGATAATTAGTTTATATGTAGGTATTTGTAATTTTTTGGTGAATTTTGAGGTTCAAATATAGTAGTCTATTTTGGATTTGGTTGTATTATATATATGTAGTTTGTTTGTTTGTTTGTTAAGTTAGTGTAGTTATAATAGTTTAGGGACGGTAGATATCTACCTATATTTTTTTATTCCCTTTAACTTTTGAAATATTTTTATAGTGTTATGTTATCTGATAAGTAGGTACATACCTACATACATATTTTTAATTTAGATTTTTATGATATTTATTTAATATAAATTTATATTTAAAATAACAGTTTTTTGTTTCAATAAGGAATGTAAAGCCTAAAATAACAAATTTAGGTGTGACACAAAATTAGTTCTTTCTGTTTAATTTTTAAAATAGGTAACATTTATAATCAAATACGCGCAGAAAATATTTATTATATATTTTTTTATTATTGTAGGTATATGTATGTATGTATGTATGTAATTTATATAAATTAAATATATACAAATAAAAAACCTTTAGAATTGTTCGTTCCGAAATTTTTATTTTCACTCACAAAAATCATAAACTAATAATTTTATAAAATTATCCATAGAAATGTACAACCTTTCATGTTATAAAAAATCTGAATAATTAAAAAATTACTAATATATAAAAAAATAAATGTATATCATTTAATTATTATTTATATATAATGATGATATATTTATTAATAATATAATATTAATTTTATTGTTGTACATGTGTTGTGTGGGGCGGCTATGTTTCTATCGTCCAATGGGCGCGCGGTTGCCTCTACCAAACGAGCCCTAATGGGGGGGTTTTTGTGATGGTTTATCATCTAACCACCCCCGCGCACCCCTAAACCAACCCCCACCACCTATTACAACCACCCACAACCTACCAGTAACCAACAAAAAATTACACAACACCACCACATCGGTACATACATTATAACCACCAAAGATTTATCATACAAAATTAAAAGTACCGTCAAATTGTAATTATTATTATAAAACTTTTACGTATCTATAGTTATGTATAATGAACTGAGATAGATGTTAAAACTACCCTCACATACGTACAACCCTAAATAAAAGTTGACGCGGGAATATTAACGTAATAAAACACTAACATATATACATATATATAAAATATATATGTATATATAATATATATATTAATATTTAGACCCTCGTTGTGATCTAAATATTATACTCTTAACATTTGATCATTAGACAGGCGCAGACTCTATCTCAATAGCTACCCTACCACTGAGCTTTAGAAATACTACAGATTCTAAGGAAAATTGATTAAAAAAATTAAATACCTAATGAGAAATGAGATCCCTATATAATAATAGTTTAAATAATGTATGTCCGTCTGTACATTGTGTGAGTTATACTCGTATATCAAGAACTAGAAGATAGTTCCTAAGTAATCTTTAATACGATTACGAAATAACTGACTGTATGTAGTGTTAAACGATCTGTTTGTAGGTTAGGTTAGTACATAAGGATAGCGAGGATTGAACATATTTATACCTGGCAATTTCCCAGCTCTAGCCAGGGTCTGCCTTACATGTTGTGAATAGTTTTGGCTAATTGTTTTTACGACCGGCCGCCTGCCTGACATCAACCCTCTGTGGGAATGCATTAATAATATGCATTAAAATAATTAAATAATACCTATGAAGTGAAAAATATAGAATATAGAAAAGCTGTTAATTTATTGTGTTGTATTTAAATCAATTACTATATCAGTTATGATGATGTTCTGCATTTAAATAGATATAGTTCCAGGGATCACGTAATAACCCTTAATGTCATGAATATCTTGAAAACTTACACAATTTAATTAATTAGTAAACAACAATATAAGTATATAATATTTTAAGAGTTTTAGAGTTATCGCAGGGATATGCATATTAAAAAAAAATTAATATAGATATATATAAATTGAATTAAATTAAATTAATATAAAATTGTAAGAAAATACGTGACTATTATAAGAATTTTACGATGAATCTCATAGTTTAAGTGGTCGTATACCTATGTTTGTTTGTTAAACATATGTATAACTGCTGAACTTATTTCTGATTATTTTACTGTCTATATATAAATATTTTGTTTCGTATCAAGTAAATTTGATGTCCGATAGGATTTTTATGATTTTCGATTTGGATTTAATAAAATTTCTATAAATATAATAAGTATCATTGTATGTTGCATACCAGAAAATTCCCGAACAGAGTCGAAAAATACCGAAGTAAAATTTATATAGAAAAAGACTTAATTTGTTATTAAAATACATAAATATCTAAACATATCTTTAAAGATAAAAAGTTCAAAACTAATGTGAATTTATCACGAAAATTACTTCTTTGCTTTCAATACAATGTAAGCTATTATTTCTTTTTACATACAGACATACATATATAATACACTTGTTATCACAAAGTCAGTCAGTTGAGTCAGTGGTGGCCTAGTGGTTAAAAGGCCCGCCTCTCATGTATGAGGGCGCGGGTTCGATCCGGGCCCGGGCAAGTACCGATGTGATTCTTCCGAGTCATATGTACTTTCTAAGAGTATTTAGACATCACTGATTAATTGCATTCCTAAAGAGGGTTGACGTCAGGCAGGCGGTCGGTCGTAAAAACAATTAGCCAAAACTATTCACAACATGTAAGGCAGACCTGGCAGTTCTGGCTAAAGCTGGGAAATTGGCAGAAGTAGTTGTTATCACACAGGAACTTAATTTGGTTAATATTTAATGAGTTTTATAATTATGTTACTTTTATGACGTCCCGGGTACAGACCGGAGGGTTGAGCACACGTGGCTCACACACCATACAAAAATAATTATAAAAAAAATCCTTATTACAAAGACATAAGGTTCATTATTAAAATAGTTTAAGTATTTTTTTCGTTCATATCCTTTGTGAATACAGGAAAAATGTAATAATTTTATTATCCTTATATTATGTATAATGCTCTATTTTTTTCTTATATAAAGGAATTTATTTAAATTTTGTTGATTTTATATACCTACCTATGTAAGAAGATATTTATTGCTTGTGAAAGAAATATTTTTTGAGTTATTTCTTTTCTTTTCTTTTCTTTCTATTTGTATGAACAGCATCTTTTATGGTTTAGTTAAATCGGTTTTCAGTTAATATTTAAAAAAATAATATTTTTTTATATGTTAAGGAAATTAAAAAAAATCCGAAAATTTGAATATCAAACATGTATATAATAATATGAAAGTGTGTAATGTTAAATATTTTATTAGGAATACAAAGAAATAGATATTATCGTTATAGAGAAAAGGTAACAAATTGAATTCGAATCTGATAATAAAATATAGAAAATCAAATGAGATATTTGTACTTTTTAATTCATAGAAAAACACTTTTTTTAATTTATAAGAGATTTTATAAAAAAATTATGTTTTTTTGTCGTACAAGATAATTAAAAGATTCAAAGAGCTTACTTTTAAAATTTTAAAGCTTAAAATTTTGTTAAAAATATTAAATATTTAACTGAGTATGAAACATTTAGGATTGGTTTCGAACTTAAATAAAATATAGTTTATTTATTTAAATATAGGTACAGAGAAATAATATGAGAAGATTTTTTTTAAGTTTTATGAAATATCAATTAAGTATGTATGTTCAATTTCGTTAGATTTTCAATTTCGTTAGGTTTATATTTAAATTTAATGTACTACTTATTTGACAGAACTGTATATATATAGAGTTGTAAATTTAGATATATTTTTTTTATCAATAGATAATAACAATAATGTACCTATCGTTTTATCAAGTGCGGTAGCAAAAGAGGTATGTACCTACTGGAATATTAATATTATTGGACCGTGATAACGGCAGGAAAATTCCTAACAGATACGATATATTGAAAAAATATATATTATATTATGAAAATCATATATAATAACAAACGTGTTATTATTAATACTTTATGATTTTCATTTCAATATTATAATTTTTAAGTTGAAAAACGTAAATGGTAGCGCAAGAGCAAATGTATTTAGTATGTTCTAGAATAATACAAAACGAATACTCACAATCATAATTAATTATTATTCGTTTTTTCCAGGAGACATTCTCGTTCAGCTTTTGTTGGAATCATTATAAAATATATCTTTTATGAATTATTCAGACCATATTCGCGGGTAAATTGAGCAGTTTTTTTTTAATCGTTCGTCAATTGGTACAAAGCACGCGCGCCGACTGCCTACTAGGGGCCGCCGGGGTGCACGGACACGCCTCTAAACATATAAATAATCATCAAATTATTGTTATAACATGCATTTATAAACTGAATTAAATAAATTCAGACAGTTTTTATTTTAATTTTAATACATTGCTCTCAAATCTTTGGCTGAATGTACCGAGCAGTGTATGCAACAATGTAGATAATGGCGTCTCGTGTCTGTGTGCGTGGAGCGCGCGCATGTGTGAGTGCATGTGTATCAGTGTGCGTGTTGTGACGCGCTGTGAGTGTGTGAGTGCGGCCCACCAACGAGGTTATCAATCTTTAATGAGTCGCTTATTATTACTATTAAAAAAAACGCGAGTTTACATACCTCGTTTGAGAATCTTTACAGATTAGGTAAATTGTTTAATATGATTGTATGACAAAAAACTATACATCATGTATAGTAAAGATCTGTGGGTAACAAGTGATTATATTTAGTTGTAATCAGTACATAGTTATTTATTAATATTAATTAGTTAGTTTATATAATTATATATAAGTAGTTGGCGTTTATACATTTACTCGAACATGAAGTTAATTTGTTACGCTTTGCTTAATGTTTGTGAAGGAGGCATGTTGAGACGCGATCTCTGAAACGGCGAACTAAATAATATACATTCATATAACATGTTACTTATATTATGTTTATCATGTTTTATCTTCAAAATATTTAATTTAAAACAATAAAAATATTTGAATATTTGAAATATTTATTAAAAGTTATAAAATCGAAAACCTAAACTCCAAAAAACGATCGTACAATTCAAAGCTGCTATAAATTGTGAGCAGCGACTTTTTAAATTTTTTGTGATATTACAGTTAAATATTCGAATATGAAAATTATTGAAAAAATATTTAAATTTAAATTCTAAATTTTTAATCAAAATCTTTAACTGAATTTTGATTTCCAATTTAAAAGGACATAAATTCAACATTTTCCACAGAACATTGTATAGGAAAATGATCGTAGTATGATATGTATTTGAGTGTAAGTGTCTTGTGTCGTGTGTCGCGCGCTCGCCGGCGGTGTCCGGTGGTCGCAGCGTCCGTCGTTGGAATGCAACAGGTAACCGATTCCAGGAAGGCCGCGGTCCGTTACCGTGCCGAATATCTCCGGCAGTCAAACGCGCCGACAAGTGCGCCGGCCACTTGCGACAACAGCGTGCGATGCACCGCCCCCTCCCCCCGCCGCCGGGCCCGGCCCCGCAGGCCCCGCGGGCCCCCGGCCTCCGCCGCTGCATTCCAAACGACATTAAGTTAGAAACCAGTCGCACGATCGTGAATCCCACAGCATTCTACATCACAACCCGGAGTACTGTCTTATGATGGACGGCTCACACACTATGAACTACCCTACCAGTTCCTAACACTTCCTTCGTTTCAAAGTAACTTAGCTGGTTCTTAAAATAAAGTCTCATTCCCCCGGGACCCCCGTGTCAGTCGTTATAATTATATTCCCAAATATTGTGAGGGAGTCCCTCTCACCCCCGGGCCCCGGGTGAAGGCTCCCTCCGTCCACTCTATTAATAAACATCCCGACACGACGCATCTGGAGACTCATCTACTTCCTGTCAACATCACCAACAAATATTAACAATTAACTATATAATATAACAAAAATCAACAATGAAATACGTTGCAACTAAATACATTGATTGTAATATTGTAACTTGAAAATTGTACTGAAATTATAATTTATTATATTCTTAGTAAAAACATTAAACTGGAGTCTTAACATTTTTTTTTTCAACATCATTGATAGATGCGCTATGTTTCATTCAGAAATAGTCCACGAGAGAAAACAGGGTAGTCTGTAACGACATTAAATTGGGCTTAGAATTATGTTCAGCCTGAGAGATGGCCACTGATATATATTAAAAAACCTTTGTAAAATAAAAAAAATAATCAAGTTGATTAAAATTGGTTTTTTTTCTGCGGACGGTACCTAACAGTGTTGTCATTATTGGTAGCATTGTTTCCGGGATCCCAGGGAATACTATAATGTTAAACATGTGCTCGGATATTTGGTAGATATATTATTATTCTTGCTATAGTCTGTAATGTGCTCGTTTAAAAAAACTTAATACAATTATCATTTATATTATCAAACACTTAGACTTAAACAAACTTTAGAAATACAAAAAAAAAGTTACGACGTCGTCAAACGCATAGGAAACGCTTTACGATCCCAGAATTACTTAAAAAAAAGCCGTCCAAAAAAAAACTAGGTTCACGTGACACCGGAAGTCGCACCGGAAATATCATGGCTGTATATTTGGAGCGAGGCGCCCCCCGCGACGCGTCCTATCATCCAATAATAAGCGGGAAGTAATCTAGACAAAAGTTTAATTTTAGAATGCTAGGAATAGAACGAAAGGTGAGCCTGAACGCTCCGGCCCCGACGGTTAAAAATAAACGGCGTTTGAGCCGGGCGGCCTGACGCGGGCTAGCAGCATACACCGGCACGCCACGCCACGCCACGCCACGCCACGCCACACATATCAAACAGCCATAACATAATTATAACATAAAATGGCTGCATTAAATCACTATATTAGTTATAGTAGTCTTCAATGTTCCTTTGGGCGCGTTTCACACGAGCGACAACAGTCATAAATCAGCGTCCGTCAGTGGCGGGCCTGCTCTGTGACGAGGTGATGTGAGTTGAATCTGTCAGGAGACAGCCGGCCGGCGCCAGCCTGCTTACGGGTCACTACTAATAAGGAGCTGGTCACCCCAATTTAACGGCCATTACCCACCAGCCGCGACGTCATACTAACTACGTATTTATACTCAGACATCGGTTTTACAATTGAAATAAATATATTAATATTAAAATATATTAAACATGCTTTACATATATAATAAAATTTAATTAAATAAGTACAAAAATTTTAACGATACATAACAAATAAGCGACTATAACAAACGTATGCTAAGTACGAGGTAATTAATTCAATCGAAGTCCATTTTCAGCAGGCGGATACCGTGTTCCCGTGATGGAGGTTCCGGATGTCCATCGGATGTGACCAGCTCGTGATCCATCAACACGACTTTATACACTTCCATCACTCATTGGGATAGGGACAGGGATAGACGACCCAACTGTGTAATATTTGGGTATAATCACCAAAAAATATTTGAAACATTGATCGATTAATATATATCTTTTTTGGTGATAGTATATATGTTTAATTCAGTATATAATATGTATGTAAAGTAATATATTTTCTTAGTAAGTATATCTTGAATGGTATAACAAGTAGCGAGCGTGGTCTTGTTAGGAATTGGTTGATTGTAACCAGTCAGGGCTACTTAGCGAGTCGACACGTCTTAGAGGATATCCATCGCCGGTTCCCACGACATATTCCTCGGCCATACAAGGAAATAATTTAAAACCATCCATTGGAAGACCAGCTTTCGTTTCGTCACATCCAACTAATGAACACAATTTTCCCCCTTTTTTTGTAACGTCATTAAAGTTTGACCGACGCGACGTGTTGTGTGTCGATTTAGTTTGACGTATCTATTACTTGGTTCTTAAATTTCTTGAAAGCGTTTTCTCTACATAATACTTAAGATTATACCTAATTCTTCTTTAAAATAAAAATTTAAATATTGTCAAACTATTTCACTATTCCAGTACGAATGAAGCCGTATTAAAAATATACTTGTAATTGTTTTTGTTTATTTTATTAGTGTTACAGACGGAGCCGCGTGTGAATGCTAGTGAATGTTAAACTGCTAACTAGGCGAAATGCATCGGCTTGCGATCTATGTCAGCGAGGGATGACGCGACACTTCCAAGAATTGACGGCGTCCTCTTACAACGGCAGGCTTTGACACACGGACACTATGTACATACTTTAAATATTATATATATATATATATATAATTATTATATATAATATTATATTTGCTAAGACTTTCAGCTTTTAACGTTTCAATGATAATCACTACGGACAAATATGTATCTTATTTTAATGTGATAAGGTTCATTTCTCAATGACGAATCTTTTATACTGTTAGTACATACTTGGCAGTTAAGTTGTCTGAAGCCATTGTTTCGTAATATTATAATTTAATGTATTTAAAAAATACGTTGTTTATATTAAAATATTTTATAGAAAAATAATATTCATAAGAGACAACCAACAATATTGAATGAATTTACGAAACAATCGTTATAATTTATTTTGTATGTCGTCATTTGTAGCGTCGTATTATATTTTTCAAAGTAAACATTTCTCACGGATCCGCGTCCTAACAAAAGGAGCGATATAGAGAATGTAAGTCAAGGATGAACGGTCCGCCGTGGCCCGTGTGTCTGTGTGTCTGTGAGTCCTTCAAACATTAACACGACTAATGAATCGTTTGTATACTCCCTGTACTAACAAACATACATATAATTCATCACAGGCGGTACATCTGTAAATTGAAGTTATACGAATACGTAAGAAACCTCAAATCGTACATCATTTAATATTATTTAGTATGATCGTCATATGAATGAGGTCGAGGGACGTGTACTAACATATTCTTAGTGGTTCATTCAATTACGGGGACATGGGAGTGGGAGTCAGGGGACGTCATTGAAGGGCCGGGGCGAAGGGCGAGGGCCGGGGGGCGGCGGCAGGGGGGGGGGCGAGCCGGGAGCAGGAATATTCAAAGCGTGAGAACGCCGCGCGACCCGCATGCCGCGACTACACATATCTCACGCGCAACCTCTATACAACCCGCCGTTCAATATTAGACTCTAACACCTATCGTTATGATCGCTTTCAGCTCGTGTAGCGCGTGCGGTTATCGCTGAGAATATTCGAGGACAATAGTTCTCTGGTTTAGGTTCAGTCGGCATTGGCCCGGATACGATCGATGAGCGCGCGTCCGCACGACACACACGACACAACACTGAGGTACATCCGAACTGATACTTACACGTCTACGTACAGCCAAGCCTTACTATCAGATATATTTCCGCCATTTTCCTTACGGTACACAATACATTACATATATGATCACAGAGCGCTCTCCGTCATGGCATGTACTTGTAATTCTTTACATCGGCCGATGACATAACTCGTCTGACATCTGAAACTGTTCAGCGTCACGACGTTAACGGCGTATTTACCGTCACACACATAGTACGGTGGGCGTCACGTTATATTTTATCTTCGGTTAGATATTATTTTTGCGCTACATAAAAAAATATATTTGCGTGGTGTCGTCTCGTATCCGTGTCGTTGTCGTCACAGATCGAAGAATCGATCGCGGAGCATCCTAAATATAGACGTCTGGTGACGTAGACGGGCAGGCGAGGAGAGAATAGGAGAGAGCGTAGCCTTCCAGTTTAGATCGTGACTCCGAGCATATATTATAACGGCGGTAATGAAATTGGGGAAAATTAGGGTGTGAGGGGGCTGGAGGCGGGCGGCGGGCGGCGCGGGGGGGCCGCGCGGGCGTCGACCTCGTGAAAGGAGCGCGGATCGCCCGGTCGCCTTTTTACGCGCTCTTTCCCGCGCCGCCGACAACCCCGCGGGCCCCCGGCCGCCGCAGATACCGGCGCAGTCTACACCAACCGACGCTCCGTCTACAACCACGATAATTAAACATTTAGTTTTCCTTATACGATATTATATGTACAACAATAATTGTCGCTCTCATATAGATTTGTATGTACTTGTAATGCTTCAGTGCGTTAATAAATCAATCGAAAGTATCATTAAGCATTATATATCCATAACACGTAACGACTGTTCGGATGTTTTAATAAAGTTTTATCATAAACTATTGAAAATCTTTATTTAAGTCGTACAAAACCGCATAAATGTATGAACGTATAAATATAAAGTTAATAAGTAATTATACATGTGTGTGTATGTACTAGCGGGCCGTACGTTGTTGTCCCCTGGCCGCCGCTCCGCCGCCGCTTCGCCCTAATTAAACAATAATCGAAAAACTACAATGAACGGGCGCGCGGCTCCGTCCTCGGTGTCCCGCCGCGCCGGCCCCCTCCGCCCCCCGCCGGGCCCCGCGCCCCCCGCCGCCCGCGCGCCTCGTGACGTCACCGTTGCACTCCTCATTATCGCCTCTCGGCTGGTAGAGCGCTCTCACTACTCGCAGCAGACATGTGGCTAACTTTAGTTCTATATTGTATATACATAGTATGATGACGCAGCGCTCCCTGGCAGAGCAGCCAGCGACGAGAGCAGCCGCGGCGTGAAGCATGTTAAGAGTATGTCAGCTGACGCTCGTGTAATGTAAGGATGCGTTCGGTTCTCCTCCTCGTCCATGTTAGTTGTCACACAGCTACTCTCTTCAATGAGAACATAATTTCTGTTATTGGTGTTCATCGTCATCGGCTGTTCGATTTATCGTTATTAAGAGCGATGACAGATTTAATTCCCTTAATGGAGGCGTGTGTTGTTGGTACATTTATATGTTTATAACTGTTGATGTGTCTGTTGTCTGTCGTTCTGTTGTTTCTGTCTAAGCTGGTAAGTGTCGTGTGAGCCGTCGGTGGTAGGTGGTCGTGACGTCACTCGCGTCTATTTTTCGACCTTTCTAATTAGCCAAGTCACGTGTTGTCTAAAATACAAACACCGTTTAGTGTTATACAACTATCATGCATGTCTTTAAAATAACTTGACGCAGATTAATACCGTGTTTGAAATTTTTACATAATATAACAAAATATATTTCCTTTTCGAACTCCCGTTGAAATGAGAAATGGTAAGTATTTAGACTTAAATAAAAAGTAAATTTGTATTTGCTACTTTAACTATAATATAACATATAATACGAATAAACAACGAAACATTGAAGTTTTTAAAAATCTTTTTGACAATAATCGAAACGTTAACAGATTAAACATTTATAATAATTTCATAACTACAGTATAAGAGAGCTGACGAAGTTATTTGTGAAATGATATAAGTAAGAAGTTAGAGACGAGCTTGGAATTTCTAAAAACGTTACTTTTGCTTGAGCATGATTGATTTCGTGTGCATACACTGTGGTAGTCATTCATATAATTATCGCGCAAACAATATTATATCATGCGCCCATAGTAAGAGAGTTCATTTTTAAATAGCACATCTTGACAGCAGCATACTTAATGTTGGGTTGGGGCCTGTCTTAAATTGAACTAATTGAGTATGGCTGTACGTTGTACGATATGACGTTAGACTTTGGTTGTTTCGTTATCAATAAGTTATAATATTAAAGTATAGAAAAATTATAAATGTATATTATTTTAAGGAATAAACGAACAAAATTCAATATTATCATTTATAAGTTGGAGTACATGTATGTACGTTACCTTAGTTTATGATAATCTGTGCCATATTTTTCTATAAAATTTAAATAAAATCAGTAACGTCCTTTGCAAGAACATTTGAATCGCATAACAGAATATTGTATTTTTTGTATTAGGTGGCGTTTTACGTATTTTCTGTTTCTTGACGTAGGTTTCTTTAGACCAAGATTCGTTCATTCCGATAGTTGTAATTGATTTTCATTTTGATAAATTCTGTTTCATAGTTTATTTATTCTAAAGTAAGTTGTAAATTAGAATTAAAATATTTTTGACATTTTTCACGAAAAGTTTACACAAGGTTTCTTTTTAAATTGTTAATTTAATTTAATTAACATTTTTTATTAAATTAAAATTTAGGTTTTTTTTCTATTTTTCTTTTAATTTAATGAATAGAGAAAATATTTATTACACTCTCCTGTATATAATTTTAAAACCAAACAAAAGTTAATTTATTGCGTCTCTACATGTGTTCTTTTTGATATCTTTATTTTATAATAAAAAATACTCTTAATGTAACGTTTTGAAATAATTTTTTTTCAAATATTATCGCTGAAGTATATGAATTATGGGACAAATTTTGTCTGTAATATTTATTGTTATGTGTAACATTATAAGTTTAAATTTATTGAACGAATAACTGATGCTTCATTTATGGAAAACGTGTGACTAAAATACTTTAAAAAGAAAATTAATGAGTTCTTAAATAAGTCACATAATCTTAAATCTCCCGAAAGGCGTTAAGTTTCTTCAAGAAGCTTATGTAATGTGTGTTTGTCTTCGTGACAGGTGCAGTTCCTAGGTCTCCTACACTCGCCGGCGGACACCGCGGAATGCAATTCATTATACTCGACTACATTACATATTAAACTGTCACACTATACGTTAAAGTTCAATTTCCTTTAACAACCGCATCAGCCCAACTCCTCGGTCCTATAGTGTGATGGAAGCGCTCGCTTCCAGTCGTATTCGCAATCAGAGGAGTGACGTCATAGGCGGGCTGGTGATGACGTCACTATTATAGAGGCATGCATAACTTACTGGTAGCGCGTAGCATCGAGCGGGGTCGTCGGTCCGGCGGTGGTGAGCGTCGCGGGTGCAACGTGTGCGGGTCGCGGGCGCACGCGGCCGACTGCAGCGGGGCTTCCCCGCCGCCCGATAGATTGACAACAAACAGAATGAATGGAAATGAGGTCGCTGGAGACGACCACCGACCACCTAGCACCCACCACCGCCGGGCGCGTCAAGTCTTTCTTGTTATTGATAATGTTTGTGTCGCTCGCCCCGCGGACGCGTCATTCATAACTATGCAGCGCCGCAGATAACGCTCTGTTTACAATATGCGTGTAAACATTGCATTCTTTAATAAATTACTTTACTGTGAATTCTTATTTTTATTTGATTCTATAGAAATCTGTAGTATTTTTCTTTGTATGAACATGAATTAAGATTTTCTAATATATTACATATTGTTAAGATAGTTTGTATGTTGGTATACAACCATGGAGGTTATATATCGGGTGTTTAAGTATTCGTGTATTTGGGTGCGCGAGCGCATCGCACCCGGGGTCGTTGACCTCCTAACGCCCTTCCATACAATCCCTGTCCACATTCAGTCACCAAATGTTACATCACCGATTATTGTCACTTGTTAACAAACGTACCCTCGTACTTACGTTCGAAGATAAGTTTACGAATAAGGGAACGAAATAAAACTCATTTGAATAATAATAAAATTATATTTCATATAATTTCTATATATATATTATTTTTATTATTATTTCATCAAATTGCTTTCCATACATTCCAGTTGCAGATACAATTGACTTAATACAAATTGAATACTTAAATTACGACTAACATCACTGGAGTCATTTGGTTACAATTAACTTTACAGTAACCGAGGCGTTACGTGCTTCACTTTAATATATTGTCTAAATCGATAAAAATATTTACAGAGTAATAAATAAAATTATATATAATCATCGAAAAATTTTGCCAAAAAAAAACAACATATATTTTGAGTACTTTAATTTTTTATATGAAAAATAATTTCGTCTTAATCACTGAAATAAAACAATTTTTATACTAAAATTAAATTATATTATATTAATTTTCATAAATAATCATTATTCATCGCCGAGTCGTCAACATTGAAAATCTTTGTACAGTTTGTGCAGGAACTGTTTGAAATGCATCAACATATTGTAATACTATGTCTGTCTGTACGTATTCAGTTTATACTATATTTACAATAATTAAAATCCTATACAACGGAATATTATTATCGAGATAATTAAATAAATATATTTATAAAAAAAATCCCATACAAATGTAAGGTAGAAACGAATTAAAACAATACTTTTAATCTTTATATAATTATCCCGATATTTGTATATGAAATTACATTGGTATATATTGCACTATGTATTGGTATTAACCCAAACCCACGTCTAGACTCATCATGACCACGAAGCCGACGATGCAGCCCCATGTAGCCAGCTTACCGTTGCCACTGTTCAAATAAAATATATATAGAACACACAATAAGAGAATACAATCTATATCTAGACTGGAAGAAATTGAATTCATCCCTACTTAATATTATAAATGCGAAAGTTACTGTCTGTCTGTTACACTTTCACGCTTAAACCACTGCACTGATTTTAATGAAATTTGGTACAGAGATAGAGTTGATCTTGAGAAAGAACATAGGATAGTTTTTATACCAGACTTTTGAAAGGTTCTCTTGGAAACGCGATATAACTGAACTCCACGCGGACGAAGCTGCAGGCAGAGAGCTAAGTTAACAATATAGTAGTCTTAACTACTCTTCATATTTAAAAGAATTTTACTGTATTTCAACTATACATATTTTTTAATGGCAATAAAGTACGTTAAGTCAAACCATATGAAACTTCGTATATTTACATCGCAATGGAATTTCTGATTATTTTTCATTTGTACGACGATACATTCAGAAGCAAGAATGAAGATGTGTCAATTTCATATGAAGAATAAGCAAAGTATGGGAGTAATCAGTTCGGAAATAATGTGATAATGTATATCAGTTCAGGAATAATATTGTATATATGTATGCCAAGTATATAGGTAGTGTGTATTAAAGGCGTGTGTCGATGTGGCGCTAGTGTAACCGTAGTCAAACAATCGTCATTGATGGCCGGACGGAATCCGCTAACTGGAATTATGGCCCATTACAATAAAACGATTCCACGTACTTACTTGCATACGGATTACCGACCGAGCTGTTCTATTGTAAAACATTACCGTACACTCGACACTCACTCTTCCTTCATTTATTCGTAGTTTAATAGTTTGTTTGGTAACTTGTGTCACAGTACGTAAACTTTCTTTGCGTAGTGTAAACAGGTAAAATGTTTAAGCAAATCTTTATCAGAGATGGCTGTGTCAAAAATATGCCACCTTTCTCGTATTAGTACGCAATATATGCTAGGAGATTCTTATGAGTACAATCGAAGGCATTTTATTAAATAATATATCTTTATATTTAAATATATAAGAAATAGTAGGTGTTATATGTTTTGTGTCAATCAATCAATTGTATGTAATATAAGTGCCGCTAAAAAATAAAACATAGTATTTCTTTCACGGTTTTTTAGCTGAAATAACTTATTTTTGAACACGTTTACTTAAAAGGAGCTGAAAGACTAAATGGCTGTTATTATTGATAAATGATATCAAAGTCTTTCGAGAGTACCTACACCTAAAAAAAAAACACAGTACATCCGAAAATATGTATTATTTAAATGGCTATATGTCATACAAGTGTTCTTATATCAATGTGTTTTGACTATGCGATTTATAAGTCTATTTAAACTGTTTATATATATTATAGGTAAATGCTTATTCACCGACTAGAGGTAGGATACGGTAGGACAAACCTCACAAGTTGTAGGACTCAATTAAGCAAGCTTCAAATAATATTTTGCTAAAACTCTGTTAATTGAAGTATAGTTTATTTCTGTTTGATATGTTTGTATTTTTAAAATAACTCCGAAAAAAGAAGGGATTTATTAATATGTACCTATATTTCGTGTCTGCATATGACGCATTAAAATTTTTGTGACATTTATTATTTTATCGATGTTTTTTAGATGGTAAGAAAACCCTATATTCAAAAGTAATTTTTATGAAATTATTGAAAAATATACGAATTAAATTAAATATTTTATAAATAATTGCATCAATAATAATGATTGTAATAAATATTAGAACGAAATTTGTACACATTAATGATTTCTTTTAATTTTCATATAATATGTACTTACACTTAAATGTATTAGTATTTGTATCTGTTCCCGTATATTACATAAACTATTAAATATAATTAATAAATAACAAAAGACATACATTTAAACTTAATAGGGTTATATATAAACTAATTATTATTATTATTGTCGATGGTTCTGTTAGAATTATCATTTATACGTTATGCGGGTCACGTACGGCTCGTACCTACTCAGGGTGGACCCACGAAAATCGTTCATATATAGCGCGGGGACCAGGGACATGGGCGTGTATTAAATAGATGAAGGTAATCATGAACAATAATAATAATTAAGTTATAATTTGATGAGTACTGTCTGTAGTGTTATTGCAATCCTGGTGGTAGGTCAGGTCGCTGTGGATTCCCAGACGGTGACGTCACGTTTATACAAACTAGAGCGCCTCCCGACTGCGTCCCCCAAATGGTTTATTTCACATTATTTATTATTATTGACAGAGCCGAGACGGCGACAAGCCCACGCGCGGCCGAATTTACCTAATAACGTGCCGCACGCCCTCCGCTTCAAAATAGATGGAGAGCCGCATTCGCAGACAGATGTATGCTATATACTAATAGCGTTACACATTAACTACTAAACACACGCACACACACACACACACACACACACACACACACACACACACACGTCGAACCAATATATTAATCATTAAATCGATGTTTATAATAATGAAATTGTTGCAATTAAATAGTTCGAGTGATTTTAAATTGCATTCTCACTCGCCTAACTTATGAGGGATTCAATTATAGAGACTTTATTTCATTAAGATTATTAAAAGAATTGCTTCTTATTAATTATGAATACACCTTTCTGTGCTGAACTAATGAATTTTTAAGTTGTGTAAAAATTAAAAAGGCAAGTTGTTATGGTGTAAATATTACATTGCAATAATAAAGAAAATTGCTTAAAGATCAATATTTAGTGCTGTTGTTGATAATGTTATGTTTACAACTACTGTTAAGGACAATCAGTACATAATGTGGTTATGTATGGTCGATGGTAGAGTGTGTTGATGAAGCAGCATATATATGTGAAGGATTACAGCGGGGGCAGTTTAAAGAAGGGTCTGATGCTGTTCTATAAGTGGATGTCTATTTCAGTAGCGGCGACAGTTGCTGCAACCGAGACGCAACGACTGCTATATATAATATACGAACATAAATAAAACGTCCACGGAATTATATAAAAACAATACGATATATACATATATATATTTATCAATGAAATATTCTAAATGGATGTTAGACGGCCCAAGAACACTCGTAATGCTACGTGTGAATCTATTACATAACACATTTTTTTTTAACATCGGTACCGACTAAACGAATTCTGACACCAACTTTCTGTTATGCAACAGCGAACGGTGAGTGAAACCGTGGGAAAATATGATAGGAATTCCAATGAGATCAATAAGTTTAACATTATTTACAGAGTGAATGATCACTTATAATAATATACTTTAGAGACATCCGCAAACAGGAATCCGATGTAAAGTAAAGCGAACGGGAATCACATGGCGAGGAACGGGCTCGGGTCCGGACAATATGGAGACGGACAAAAGTGATGTCGCTAAGGGGAAGTGTCCGGACGGCACAATAGATCGTGAGCCCTAACGGTATCCAGGGAACATCGGGCCTTACGGGCGCACTTCAAACATCCATCGAAAGGCCAATATTAAACAGAACAATTCACAAACGTCGCCGACCCTCGTCAATCCAATGATGACGGGAGCCTGTATTCCGCGGCCCGAGATTCTGCGACGTAGATAAGGAGAGCTCCGTAACACGCATTACAGACTGTCTATGAAGACGCATTAACGTATTTATAATGGGACGCCACTAGCGTTTGAAATGAATACGGCATCGGATGTATGGGGATGTACAAAGGATGTTATCTGGTCCGCGCTGACATTGAGAGCCGGATCGGGAGCGAGGGTCACCACAAAGAGACGAGTATCTCGTATTTTTTGGGTCAATTTCAAGGTCAATTTGAGCTCTCATTTAATAATGCAAAGCGAAGAATTCAACAAACCAAATTATACTTGTAAACATACCGAGAGGACCCTCCGTGTTGTGGACTAATAAATGAGAAGGACACGTGATCCATTTACTAGTACGACATTCATATTGATGAATATACTTGAACATTGAGAGGTGATGTACTTTATAGAATGATGGAGAAAAGATGGAGCTATGAGAGTTTAAAAGGTTTGTGATACAAAGATATGTTGATACACTTGAACGAGTCTTTGTATGGAGTATGGACATGTATTACTCACGATGCGTTAGCCTCTGGTATGATGTCATCAGCGACCACGTATATCATAGCGCCAGCTGCGAATGCTAACGCATAGGGCAGCGCTGGTTGTGCTGCAGCAACAGCAACCGCGCCTAGGACTCCGAACACTGGCTCCACCATACCTGACAACTGGCCGTACCTGGATAGATGATATAACTCATAAATAAAATATAATATATAGCATTTCGATCGAGTTTTTTAGTTCCTTGTCGTATTAAACGTAACGCCTTTGTGGAAAATTCCATTCCAAATTAGCTTGGCATCTAGTTTTGAGGTTGTATATACTATGTGACGATGTATTATAGATTAGTTGCTAGTTATTTGGTAATGAATTAGTGATGCTACATATCTCCCGTATCCGGGTGGTGTGGAGGCCTAGCGGGATGGTCCGCGGCGACTGGCGAAAGAGGCCGCTAACGAATTGTTTTGGTGAAAGTGCGGCCCGGTGGCCAGACCACATTCCTACGAACTGGTCGACGGACCGCTTGTGGGAAATGCCGCCATCACCACGCCACCAGCGAACCACGCTGTGTCCTCACCATCGACCCAACATTAGGGCGCCGCTAACATCATCAATAAATAACACTCTGAGTTTTAAGCAGATTCTTTATTTGAGTGTCAACTTGATGTCAAATTTAGTTCCCAATGTAACGACGCAATTTGTGACGTAGACATTTAATGGGTCTATTTAAATGTTTTGATTGTTAAGGGTCTAATCTGATATAATCGCGATTATGGTTGGTCTGTGTGGACCGTGGTGCTGGGTGCGAGGAGGGCAGCCCGTGCCCTCAGCCGGTCGACGTGACGGCATGTTATCGCATGCATTATTCAACGAGTGGCGAAAGCGGCAATTTGCGACAATATCCACTGATTCGCAGAATCGGCCCACTGTGGAGTCGCCGACAAACCATAAAACAGGATGGCCGTCACTCAATAACTATGTTGAATTTAAATAAAACCATACGTTGTTTGTTTTGTTTCGGTTCGGTCAGTCGATTAAAGAGAAAAATAGCTGAGGGGTTACGGAACTCCTTCGCAAAACTTCGACTAACGAAGACAATGTACCGTGATGCGCTAGTCTCTACTCTTTCACTGTTGACTATTTAAATAGGCTGTTAATTAAAACAGTGACTGCTTGTTAATATATCGTCAGTATGTTACTAGTAGCTGCGAGACCTACATATACGTTTCCCACGCACAAGTAGTTCGTTGGCGAGCGTCATCGGTGAAAAAAAACAAATAAACAAGGCGATCGAGCGGTGGAGAACGACATTCGTGAAGATTAGGTGCGGCGAGGCAACATGCGCAGCGCAAACCGGCCGCGATTGCGCAGATCAGCGCCATCAAGGCTGGCAGCGAGCGAGGCTGCGGGGCCGCGCCTGGTGGAGCCTGCGGTCGCTCGGTTTAATTATTTAACTGTGAAGGTCGAGCGCCCGAGGCGGCGGCGGCTCGGCGACGGCCAGACAGCTAGCCGCCCGCTCGGGAGGAGACTCGCAACACGTTCACTATACATACTATGCTCTACGAGCGGCAGCGACGACCAGCGACCACCTACCACCTACCACCACGTACAGATCACATACACACATAGCGCCCCTACAGATATACATCTATCGTAACGTCGGTGTATCCTTTCAAACTATAGAACATGACACGTCTTAATTTGACGGCAATCATGAATATTTATAAGCGAATTATTCAAATCTGTCCGATTCTGCAACTAACTAATTTATCAATATACTTTGAACACATTTCACTTGTAGAGAAGTTCTATGAATGTCACAGCCATCCTTCACTGTATGAACCATCGGGTTCTTTATCACTATGAGTCAGATATTTCCCATCCGGTGTGAAATGTTCTCTAGACGCATTGTCTACAACAATGCATAAACATATCTCAATTTGATTATGTCATAATTAAAAAAAACATAACCTTACTGAAAGAACACCAGACTTAGACGCTGGCATGCACCGTCGAAACAAACGGCTCAGTTATTCGGTTCTGGTATGAATGCTTTTTATTATAAAAGTACGAATTCCATCTCAGTATAGTAAGAATGAATTCATTGTAAGTAGGAAATCTTCGCGTTTAATCTCAGATCTGAGTCCTGGTTGAGTTTCCTCTAATAACAGCTATAAGTCATGTCGAGTAAGTGATCGTAATGTATGTGTACATGACAATATAATCAAATCTACGCTAGTTAGTTGCCCGTACCCGGGTGTTTTTCGCCGTCGGGAGCGAGCGACCAGTTGTTTCTTGCCGGGGCTGCATTCCTTATTCCAGCATTCCGTCCAACAAAGCCTACTACTGCATAAACCGATGCAGCTAACTTTCAAATATTTTGTACATATTTAGGGAATGCTCGTTGTTCTCATTACATTTTCCTTATTGATTAGCTATTAATAGATTTTATAATTTAAAGGCTGCTTATGTACTGCTGAGTGATTTTGTTTTGGATTATCGTTAACAAAATTTTTTGGGCACTCTCAAAAGTTAAGATAAATGAAGTATTAAAACCGATTACTATAAATGGTTACATGGGAATTAAATTTTTTATATTATAAGCCAAAACGTTATCCCTGTTCGTCATCTATTTAACGAGTCCTAGTAGTTGTGTAAACATGTTTAAGGGTCCAGCTAGTGGACATGTGTGTTATGTTTAATGACGTAGGAGAGCGTGTCAGAGCAATTAAAAATAATGCATAAGGATAATGGCATTGTACCGGGGTCGTCGTACGCATTCCCCTCCGTCTTTATTCCCGCATTCCTGCTCAGCCCAAACGTAACCATAAAGTAAGGAAACACTGGAATATACGAAACGGGCGGACTTCATTGATTTTGTAGACTTTAATAAATTCGCTCCCGAATATTGTTATAATAACGTAGATAATATAGTAAGTATCTGAACGTGGAGGTACGAAATGTATTATAAAGTGTATCAAACAGATATACTGTAAATATGAATGAAGCGTTAAACAATCCGTGTAAAGTATATTGTCGCATCCAAAACTCGAAGGGCCCCGTTTCGTAGCTCCGGAACCAGCGGTCGGGCGGCGCCAGGAGTTCCGAGAACCCGGTGGAATGCGACTATTTACAACTTTTACCTATTTGGTAAGGTTTACAAAACGCGTGCACGTACAATAGCAGATGTAACCTTTGCTTCGGCCACTTGAACATGCCTTCGTCGACCGTGTATATAATCGATGACTTAGAAATGTCACACGTAAATTACTATGGAATCCTATTGTTGGGAGTTTATGTACGAGTTAAATTTAAAGTTCAATAATAATTATACGGTTATGTTTATTGTCGCTACAAAGAATTAAAACGTCTGTATAACAACACGAGATTTCGTCGGATGTTAAGAGAACGGTCGCGAAATGTATTATCCTATAGAGGAATGGGGTCGGTCAGTCTGGCTGGGTTGGCATCCGGCCTAACGACGCGACGCATTCCCCATCTAGCCACCAAGCTATCAATTAGTGCGCTCCACAAATGTAACGCCATGTTATATATACATGTGCTGTTGTTAGGAAATCGACGGCTGAACGGTTTGAGTTCATTTAGTTTAGTTAGTGGTTACTTACCAGAATGCTCTCCACACGGAGAATCCTGCTGAATGAAGCGGCAGACTGACGGCCAGACCTTCTGGGAAGTTCTGGATGCCGATCCCCAGCGCTAGATTCCTAAACAAACGAAATAGTTCATATAATAATGTGGTCTTTATTCTTTAATTATTACTAAGGAAGAGGAGGTCATTTTAAGTTTGTTCTACGTCTTATATTATTGTCATTGAATTTGTATGGTGAACGTATAATATAAATGTTTCTGCTCGAGCCAGACGTCTCAGGTGTAGGTAAAGAATGTCTAATTATAATAGTAATAGGTGAAGTAAGTTCATATAATCGTATAACAGTTTTTTCGGATGCCATTCAACGTGTCTAACGTGACGGGATCCAAACCGCATTCCTCTACGTATACCATCGCAACGCATCATTAAATTTTCGAGATGCGTTATTTACACATCCAATGATTGCGTTATCAGTTAACTGATAAATAATATAAATATAAATATTTATAAATAACATTCTCTTTATTATGTACCCATTTATAACGCATCCGCTATTTTTTTCCGATTGGTTGAGTTTATAGCAAATATTTGTTGATTTTTATTAAGTTTGAAGAACATTCCGATTACCAATTACTTTATTGACATTTAGGTAATAATGTACTCCACGTTACAGATGGCCGCCCACGCTCTGTTCTCCGTTATGGCATTCGAGACATCATGTTGATGATGCGAGCGATAAAATCTGCCGAGATAATTGAATTGAATCATACATAAAGCTGTGTACACATTAGTTGACATATAGAAAACAGCTAGGATTTTATTAAGTTTGTTCTTATCATTAGAACATCTTTTGTGTAAACGTTCATCAGTTTTTCTTACAAGCTCGTTTGGTATTTTTGCGCCAAGTGGTATGTAACAATAGCGCCAAGTTTCCAAATGTCAGTTCTGTTGATGTCATACATAACATTCCTCTAGGCGATCGGAATGCTATGCCCAGTTTGGCGTTAACTTTGAACGATCGTTTGTTTGTATACAGTTTAATACAATCTATATAGAACTAGAAGACCTGGCGAACTTGGTATCGCTCTATAATCAAGAAATATCTGTGACGTTTTTTTAATTTATATTTTTGAAGTTTACCTTTAAGCCATAAATCTCCGTGTTTTGAAGTGCGACAGAATGATTGACATACTAGTTAGTTATCAAATCTAATGTCATCAAAAACGTTTGTATGGGAAATAGAAAAATGCTGTTTTTAGGGTTTTCCCGGAAATGAATGCATTTTTTCAGCTTTTAAACTTTCCCTGAACCTCCACGAACATTTCAAGTCTAAGATGAGATAAATCCGTTCAGCCGTTCTCGAGTTTTAGTGAGACTAAAGAACAGCAATTCATTTTTATATATAGGTATATAGATTTCAAATCTCAGTTTAATTTACGGAACTGTATATAGTCGTGTTGGTCGGGAGGAAGAGGCGACATTCCGCTAGAGGCCGCCACCTCGCCACCTGCTATCCTCAGCTAGGAATGTAGCTAACTGTACAGCCTCCGGACCCGTTAAATCACAACTGTTCCCGCATTTAAAGGTCATACACGCTCTTACGTAATGCATTATACTAGGAATTTGAATACAACTAGATTCTGTTTACGGATTTGCTTTACTTATTACTTATTCATTAAATAAGTGTATGTATTTTATTTATTATGCATATCACCTGTATATTTCAAACATTTAAAATTACTTAAGCGTTTTCTAGCACCTGATAATTTATGTCATCTTATTAGTAGCAAAGTAATATTATCTAAGAATTGTATGAATAAGGAGTTTTTCTTGAATGGGTTAAAATCACGTTGCATCCGTATCGGTGAAAGCCACTGCGGGCGACTTACGATCATAGTCTAAACACATCTCTCATACATTATTATGACAACATAGACCATAGTTAAATATTACAAAACATCATAAATACTATATCTTAATATATTTTAAAAAAGAACTGACTAAAGCTATGAAAGTATTTACTTATCTATTTATAACAATCAAATACAAAACCATTAATTTAAACTTAATTTATAAAGTTCTCATTTAGTATGAACAAGGCAGTATAAACTATAAATATATAGCAGCTTCGAATTAAGTATTCCATGTATATTAATATAAATTAATATTATAAAAAAAATAAAGTAACGTCAAACATAAAACCGTATTGGAGATACGATTGATAAAATATATAAATTCCACGGTGGAGTCATTGACACATTTGATACGAATCAATTAAGAATTCCTATTTTATATAAAATCTTCACGCTTATACTAAAATATGTATAAATGTTTCCAATGGACCATAAAATTTGTGCAGTGTGTATCAGCGGGCTATAGATTGTGAGTTATTTCGACATCGGCTCAAAAGTATCGGCGACTTTATTATGTCAACAGAGAAGTATAGAAACTTTATAAGTGAACAGAGGAACACCGGATATATCCGGATTCCGATTGCATAACAGACGAGACCATTTCACTTTCCGACCTACCCGGAAGTGAATTCCTAAGCACGAGCATACGGCGCGGCCGATATACACGACCGGCCGGACATTATCGACCTTATTACCACCACATAGAGTCCTAGTCGACTCGGTCATCAGAAAGCGTCGCGCCGAACACAAAACGCCAAAACGGATGTGAATGTCAGACGGAGACGAACGAAATGTGACTTAATGACAAAGATATAGAGTGTATATTGTAGTTGTAGGTATAACGATCGCGAAAGTAGCGGCAACTTTCACGACACGTTAGGATGGGGGCGCACGACATGACGGCCATAGACGACACCATGACCCACATACCATAGACCCATTCATGAGGCGGCCTCGAGCGCAGCCCTCGCCAGTCGGTGGTGTACCTGGTATTTCCACCAAATATTGCATAACCTCGCCTCATTGTCGCAATCGTTGTTACGAGGACGCAGGCCTCGACATCATCGCACTTGTTCAATTAGAGCCTTCTAATAATATACGCACTTAACTTAAACACGACGTCTGCCGTACAGACACATGTACGGACGCATGTATAAACGTATATAATGAAAAAACTATCAGATTCATCTCAGGATTCATCTGTTTCCTTCAATTATAGATTATTTAATTATCTTAAATTAAGTTACACGTTATGTACGTAAAGGTTTCAATGAAATTTTGTATTATTTAGTCACATTTGACTATCATTTAGGTACTAACGAAGTTCGAAAATTACTACTATGTTTACAACTGTTGTAGGAGACTTTTTGAGGCTTGCATAAATACTTTTTCTGTTCTTTTCTTATATACTATAATACTTCTTAAACGCTATATGAATTTTACTATCAGACAAAACAAATTAAAATTGTCTAAAATAAGAAAATATGACAAAAAAGATTCTAAAGCTATGGAACTATCAATATTTAATACAGAAAATGATTTTTACTCTTAGCATATTTTAAAGTACTGAGTTCCTTCATTGCTTCCCTACACGATTTTCTTACATACTTTTACTTCTCAGCCTAAATTATCCTTTATTATAATTATTTCATCAATTCCTATGAGTTAGTTGCGTTGATTAAAACTGTCATACAAAATGTCGATTTAATGGAACGAGACCCTTAGAGTCCTCAGTGAACAGTGGGGACGAACAGCGAGGGATAAGTGAATACACAAATAGAATGAGGGTTCATGACTTAAATACTGACTCACGACCCTTTTATTGGTTCCTTATGTTGGAACTCAATTGAATTACTAGCTTTACGTAACATTTATACAACATATCTCATTACAAAGTAACTCAAGATTAATCGCTGTGATTTTCCTTTCATAAGAACATATGCATAAATTATTAGATGCTCAAATAACTTGAGAATAGTTTAAGAATTATTGTTTTACATACAAGCAAAGAGAAACCGAGAAACTTAAGACCGAGACCGAAAAGCTTTTAATAGAAAAAAAAAGCCACGAGCGTTGATTTATAATATTCGAATGTAATTAAAATGTAGAAACGAATTTTTAGTTTGAGGTTGTTGCGCTAGGTAGGTATCGTATGCGAAAGTGCAAGGGTGTTGGAGGGGGGAGGAAGTGGTGGAGAGGGGGGGGACGGCAGCAGCTCAGCCACCGGGGGGGAGGGGGGCAGCCGGCCAGACAGCGGGGCTCCGCTGGGAGGCTAACACCAGCCTCTTGCCTCCGCATAGCTGAGATCGACATTGCGCGAAAGCTGCCCCACTTACACGAGAATTGTATAATCAATCTACTGACTATAATTAATTGGTACAAAGGACAATGTTACACGACTTGTATGTATGTTGTGACGAATAGAGATTTTATAAATTATGGGTATATATATTTAACTTTATGTATATATAGCAAATGAAAAAATTCAAGAACAATATCGAACATGACGGTGATGTAGCATCCGTTAGTTGGCAGACTGTGTTTAATATTAACCGCTGGTTGCGATCGTTGTATGTGTAATTAATACTTACATACATTACATTGGAGACTAGTCTAAGGAGGGAGCATAGTGTGGGGGTATAGTCCAGCGAGACCACTAGTCTAACTTTAAAGTCTGAAAACAGCGCAGACTATTAGCGAAGTCTCCGCACGCTTTAACCGTGTTCGAATATTAGAACTACGCAATTAAATGATTCTCGCCGTTACTAAACGATATTGTTTATTATATACTAAGATTATGATTGATTAAAAAAAACATGAAGGACATCCATCGACAGCTAAATATAAATTCGCTTAATTCTGCTTATCACGTGACAAATGTTCGAACTTTGGAGATACGATTTTTAATATAATTAAGTTACACTTAAAGATGTAACATATATAAAAAAACTAGCGCGGATTCCTTAATATAGCTAATTAAATTATTAATACTTCATTAGTTAATTGATTAAAATAGAAATATAAAACGAGTCTTTTGAGGAATTCATATCTGACCACACCGTTTGATGTATACTCGTATGTATTTGACTGATAACTAATTACTACAGACATTATTAACTTGTAGCCAAAACTGGATATTACAATACATTTATTATACAAACTAGAGAATCCTATTGTATACAATACATTTAATAATCTCATCGCGTAACAGTGTCATGGTGATAAATATGTTCAGTGGAGCTCCAGGACGGTGTGACGGTGTGACGGTGGGACTAAACCTATGTTAGAGTGCATCAAGTCGGCGCCGGGCACGTCACCAGGCCGCATTCCGTGGCGCGTTCATTCATGTCGAGAGAGAGAGAGGCTGCGGGCTGGCCACGGGAGGGAGGGAGATAGGAGAACAGCGCCGTTACCCTGCATGGGAATGCAATTCGCGCGAGCACGGATTTGATGCCGGAGCCGCGTTCCTTGACACACACACACCCCAACATCCCACAGGAGAACATCAGCCCGCTCGTCTGTGAGAAATACCCACTAACCTCTCACGCCACGACGGTAACCTACGACGTTCTTCAATTTCGACATTACATAATTAACATAAATTTCAATAAGATTTAATAGGACGGAATTATATTAACATTTAAAATTCATGAGAGACATCCGATCGATTAAATGTGAAACAAGGACGGCGGTCGCCCGTGAAACAAAGGGTACCGCTACATTGGCCAAGTACAAAGTTCTATTACGAGACGAGTGGAATGTGGTTCGCGCGGCGCGGCGCGGCGGGCGGCAACAGCTAGCTACAAACAGGTTAATATTATTCAACCTCAAGTACTAATGATAATACATCAGAGTCGTTAACATATTTTGTACATAAATGTCCCTATTCAATGTTATATCAAAAATTTGTACTCCGTTATCGAGGCGCTTATAACGAATCCAATATAGAATGAAACGTCGTAGTTAGTTCCGATACAGTTGCGAGCCTCTCCGTAACATCCGGCTGTAAGCGTGCAGCGGCGATACAACGAGAAATCTTAACAGAGAAATATATGAACAATAAACTCACAACGGATCGCCACTTAAGTTTCGACAACTTAATTTGCGTGTTGTAGAGAAAGGCAATGCGGACTGCCAGCATTCCATTACATACCGCTTAACATAAACAGCGTCATAACATGAGGAAAACTGTACAACTTTATTACATATATATTATTCTAAGTCGACTATACAGTAAGTACTATTGAAATTTTTTATATATTGAATTTTTGTACTGTCCGTTTTATAACAGAGATGTCTGACACTTAAGTTGTTAGCGATGTCCAGTGTCCAGCGATGAAATTTATATGAGAGACGATGTGCTGAGTGTCGCAAGCTGGAGGACGGCCAGAAATGTCACAATAAAGAGAAAGATGTAAACACAGCCGCATTCTAATTAAAAAAATAAGGTCGAATCGGTAAGGTCGGCCCGTCTGCTAGCAAAGTGGCGATACGTCTCGCCAAAAATGACTCACCACTCATGACTGTCTGCGACTTTATTATTTTTGAAAATGAACAGAGAAATTCTATGTATTACATCTGTGATTATTTTTAAAATCAACCGCAACAGAATCTACGAGACTTTACTGATAGGATAGGTATTGAATTATAAGATGGACAGGAAAAATAACGTGAGTAGGCTAATTTGAAACTGAAATTCTTGGACGGATGATGTTAGCATAAGTTATATCTAATCTATATATATGTATATATGTTTCTAATATTATACAAGGTGAGTCAGTGTATGACAGCACCATATTCATTGCTTCGAGCAAGTAAAGGCGCCGTCGCGGATTTCCTTCGACGTTGCATTCCCAGCGATCCATCGACGTTACTCAGACACTAGCGATTATAACAACTGTATACGTGTTCTGAATATCATGCACATGACACGTGACAGACGTACATACAACGATACACATCCGATATATTATACGTACATTTTTAATTACATTTATGTATAGTTAGAGAGAAAAATTTTAATTTATTGTGTGTTACTTGCGTCGCGTTGTCTCAATTAATTTGATAGTACATATATGTTATTATAAATGATTTCTATATAGTCAATACATATTGATATTTCATCCAGCTTCCTCAATATTAAGACTATATCTCACGAATGTTCTTGTCTCCGTAGAGTGAGCCTGTACCTCATAGTAGATGCATGTCGCGGGTAGTCAGTGAGTGCATGTAATTCACACAGCATTACTCACCCATTCACATAGCTGCCGTGTCAAGGGCGGCATCAGACACGAGATCGTACACACCACTAGCAACCTAATGGATTCTTGGAAAAACTATTCAGATCACAGGAACTCATCCGCTCTAACAATGATTCATAGCATAAATCATACAGAATTAAATTCCATGTAAAACAAATATTATACATTACATTTGTTTACCTTACACCCTTCTATGTGTGTTAGATATTTTTGTAATACATAAACAATTATGATACACCCGTGATTAACGATAATATAACGATAAATAAACGATCGTACACTATAATAACATGGTACAGGTTTTCGCCTTTAATGGGAAAATCGGTATATAGTCATGTAAGAGGCAATTAGTTCTCAAATGACGCGATCACTGACCGCTGACGTCCGATATGACGTGAAAACTCAGCTCTTGACGTGCTGTATTAAAACAATTAAATGTTGTTTTTATAACAAACAAATATTAATAGTTTTGTATTCACAAATGATATGAGTCAAATATTATAATAAAAAGTTTCCGTCATCCCATGACACATATAGCACTGTTAATGGTGAATGAATTATGAACCAGCAGTGAGTCATTATCGCGCGTGTCCGCAGCCGAGGCGCATGCGCATGCGCACAGGAAATCGTAAAAGCGCATCTAGACCGCGCGCATCTTCCGCCACAATATCCGGTACGCTTTCGCCAAATATCCTTTAGAGTTTACAACCGTAGTTCAGTGATCCGAACTATTTACGTACGGTGTTCGACCTATCTGATATAGGTACCTTTGTAACGATAACTATTTCCCGCATTCCCCGTTATACAATATGTAATCTATATAGCGATCTTATAAATACATTATTCTTATATTTTTATATTTGATTTGAGTAAATTTTTAAAATAAAATTGTCTGTCGGTTGAATCTAAAGCTTTTTGTTGAGTGTCAGTTCTATAGAAAACGTTTATTCACAGTGAAGACAATCAATATAATAATGTAATTGATACAATCCTACGCAAATTTAATATTTTGAAGTCGCTTTAGAATATCAAAATTCTTAATATTCATGAAATGAAAATTATCTCCGCAGTATAAGTACATAATAAAAACGTGTAAAAATACACATTACTTGTGAAACTAATGCCTAAATGTCTATTCACTACAGCCCAAAACTTGTGATCATTCACAAAAATTATCACAAAAAAAACATTCTTGTAAACCGAAACTAAAATCCATAAACAATAAGAATTTCTGAAAGTCATTCATAAATAGAATCGGCACAAAAATAAAAAATGTCAATATATGAGCGAGAGAAAGTCGGTACGTAGAGGAATTCGTTATGAAACACCATGGCTGGGTATTGTTTGTGGTGGTGGCGGGGAGGAGGGAGGGAGGAGGAGGGAAAAGGGGGGAAGGAGGGGGGGGTGTAGGAGAATTAAAAAGTAAACAGTTGCGCATACCATCGAGGTAGGTACCACCTAGCGCACGTGGTGCATACCGATGGGGTCATGCACCAATCACGGGGGCAAAGCGGGTGAAAACAAGTGCATTTAACGTACTTATGAATAAACACACGCATATTATAATATATTTACATATTACGTATGTTTGTATGTATGTGTGTTACACAAAAACTATAGAACATTAGTACCAATTTAGACACAGAGTAATGTAATTTGCAATAACAAGCAAAGCTCTGGACATAGCTTGAGTATTCTTATATTATAAATTGATTAATATAAACATAGTATATGTAAGTAAAGTGCTAATTATTGCTATCTCGTCTTATGTATCGGTATATGCTTTTGTGAACCAGTTCGAAGCATTTGTTAATTGCCTACATAAAACACAAACAACTTTGTGCTCTACGTCCCAAGCTATAGAATATATATTACAACGACGGTAGTGTCATATTTTTATATTTTTAATTGAGTTTTAAGAAGAAATCTTTTAAAAAAGCAACATATTAAAGATATTTCGCGAACGGTACCCGCCAGTCACCGCTGTTAGATTGCATCATTAGCGGTGTACTTCGCATTATCCGTGCGAACTGAAAACTGTACTACATCCCATGAACATGAAATAACACGACAAAAAAACATATTAAATATATTATAAAAACTTGTGAAATATACTTAGGTAACTAATACATTTATTATGGCGTGATGGAAACAATTGAAATTTAACATGGCTTACAATCACTAGTTTTCCTGGTATATACCGTAGTACGTGTTCGAGACGACCGTTTAGACGTTTCTCATTCATAAATACGTGGCTATCGTATTAACTATGTAATATTTTGTGAATGGATTACAATGAAAGTGTAGTATTTTTAATTATATTGCTTTTGAATATTATTCATAACGTAACTCGTATAAGTAGACAAACATCTCTACGACTCGTAACTTACCTTTGTCAGTATAATTCTTACACTAGATAAGGGCTTTTATTTATCAATATTATAAATATCAAAGGAATATTTTCATGCAACAATAAAACGGATTTTTTTTCTATCTTCGCTCTATTTCGTTGGCTATGACAAATCATAAACCTGATGTTAAAATTGATATTAACAAAAATATTTTATTAAAGATATACGTATTGATATATAAAACAATTCTATTAAAATACATGTTTAAAGAAAGTATTAACAACAATTGAATCATTAATTTAATAAAAACAATTAAGAAAGTTACCAAATTTATGACGTTTTCTTACCAGACTTTTGTCGTTATTTTCCTAAATTAAGATTAGATTTGCAAAAGTAATCAAACTTGAAACATTTAAAGTACGAAATAATTAACAAAGAAATTTATGAGAAACTCCAAAATCCACATTAAAACACGTAATAATATCGAACTTGAACAAAAACCGTCGATCCTAATGTGTAATGAAGTGCGCGTGTGTTATTATGCAGCGCCAGTTCAGTTGGCAGTGAATTCAAAAGAGTTCCAATGTTAGATGTGTAACATTAGGCGGGCTTGCATTCCATCCTGGGAAAGCGGCAGAAAGTTCGGCATGCGAGGGTCGGAGGCTTCGTAGGAATGCGGCCGGACCTGCCCCCCCAGCCCCCTCCCCCCACACACACACTTTGCTCCTTAACTCATGTCTAAATGTGCGCGGATTTTCAGACGCCATGCTATATTGATGTACCTTTTAACATTTCATCTATTAAATAACTTTTTATCATGTATTATATAATTTTGCGCTCACTATAGATATTACGAATTTATATTATATAAATTTCGATGAAATCTAAATTTTT